TAAAAGGGAAGCAGAGATTTCAGCATCAGTGGAGCTTCTGGGAGCTGAGAAGAGGGGATTGGACAGGCTGGGGTGACCTTTAGCAGCCTCTGCTCAGAACTGACCCGGTTTGGCCACCCCCTCATGCCTTCCCTGCCAGAGCCAGCTTTCAGGCCCCCTGCCTGGACTGCCGCAGTATCCCCTTATCGGTCTCCATCTTTCCCCTCGAGTTGTCCACATACTGCTGCCACAGAAGCCAGATCCATCTTCTTAATACTCTGCTTTGCACCTCTCTACCCTCCCTCCCCCGGCTCCACCCCCAAGAGCCATAGTGGACAGAGGCAAGTCCAGCCTGAGACGTAAAGAGGCTTCATCCAGGCCAGTCTGCCCAGGTCCTGCCAACCTCACAGGCTCATATCCCCGCAAGTACCTCCCACACCTGCCCCCACACCTCTTTGTTTGCCCCTCAGGGTACCTTCTGTGGGCATTCTCTTTCTGCCTCCTCCTGGCTGATTTCCTCTGGGTTTGGTCTCAGCGTGGGACCTGGCTGTACCTGGCAGATGTGCAGCCCTGTGGGAGGCTGGCTTCAAGGGCCGGCTGAACTTGACCCTGGCCTAGGGAGGAGTCACAGCCTTTACTGTCTTGTTCTGCAGAGCAGCCTTCTGGGGAGGTGGCATTACCCACCATGAGGAGCAGAGGAGGTGACTGGGGCTCAGTGAGGTCACACAGGTGGGGAGTGTGGCCAAAGCTGTCCACTTTTTGGAGTTCAGGTTTAATCCCTTGTTATCACCAGCATTCTGGGGGCTACCAGATGGCCTGCTGGGCAGCCATGCCCTGGGCTCCAGGGGAGACCCTGGTGTAAAAGAGAGAAGGAATCTCCTGTGTGCTTCCCCAATGCTTACAATAGTTAGGGCTGGCCAGGGTCAGGAGCTGGGAACTCCAGCAGGGTCTCCCACGTGGATAGCAGGGACCAAGCACTTAACCCATCACCTGCTGCCTCCCAAAGTGTGCATGAGCAGCAAGCTGGATTGAAAGTAGAGGTAGGACTGGAGTCCAGCCATTGCAGGTGCTCCAATATGAGGACCTGACCAACGTGCCACAGTGCCTGTTCTGTGTTGGGAGGGGCTGAACAGCTAACCTGGGGACACAGTGGCTGCAGAGTGAAAGCCTGAGGGGGAAGGGCAGGGATGTGGGAGAGTGATCATCAGGATCAGCATGGAGAAGAGGCCTGTGGCCTCTCAAGGGGAAAAGTGCAGGATGCCTTTCCCCAACTTAGAGCAGCCTCCATTGGGCCGTGGCGTCTGTGGACAGCAGGATGAACACCGTCTAGACCAGAGGAAGGGCTCAGGAGTGGGCGAGGGGAGGCGCCCCCCCTGGAGGGCTTGTGAACATTCTATGGTTTGGGGTCCTGGAGTGAGAGGTGAGTGGGAAGGGCACCAGGCTGGCCAGGTACCTCTGCTGTGGAGCTCCAGCCCTCCAGTAGGTGACTGCACGTCTCAGAGCCTGCAGGTTTGGTCAGGAGCAGAGAGGTGCTGCGAGGTACCAGGGAGGAAAGCACTGTGCCAGTTGCGGCTGGCTCTGGCCCTGCCCCTCTGCAGCTGCTGCTGCTGTCCCGTAATTATGGCTCTGTTCCCCGGGGCCCACTGTGTTGCTGAGATTGTCTCTGGGTCTCGTGCTGCATTTGCAGAACCGTCCCAGCCTCCGATTTAGTAACTCGGACAGGCCTGTCTCAGGGAGAAGGTTCCCCACCCCCACTTGCCACTTGGGTCGGAAGGAGGAGATACTGGGTCCCTGGGAAGGAAGGGGCATTGTCCCTAAGAATGTGCAGTCCATGAGGGTGGAGGAGAAGCCAGGGCTCCCCCTTCCAGGTGCTTTTCCAGAGCTGCCTGGTGGGCAGGGTGGGAGCTCCAGTGGTTGCTGCACCCCCTCTGCTGTAAGGACCAGTAATGCCAGGAGCTCCACCTCAGCATGCTCCCTGGTGCACCCTCTAGTGATGTGTGGGTGAGCAAGTTGTGCATGCATCTGAGAGCCCTCAACCCAGACTCTCAGGACCATTGCTGATCACATCAGGGGTGAGACTGTCTGGGCCACACACCCACAGAGTGGCTGTGCGCCAAGATTCACCAGTGGAGGAGATTGTGCTTTCAGTGGATCGGTGTTGCACTAACTTTTGTTTTATAATTTTTTTAAGTACAGTTTGAATAGCTCTTGTCTATGATGCTTGGGACCAGACATATTTTATTTATTTTTTTTCATTTTGGAATTTTTGCTCCTGCATGATGAGAGAGCATAAGAATGGGCTCATTCATTGGTGTTTCATAGTCCAGAATTCATTGATGTTTCATAGATGTGTAGCCTGAAGATCCGTTTACATTTTTAGTGCATCTGTGTTTGACACTTCAAGGAGATCAGGTATGGGATTTTCCACTTGAGATATCACATTGGTGTTTACGAGGTTTCTGAATGTGGAGCGTTTTGGATTTCAGATTTTTGTATTAGGGGTGCTCAGTCTGTCTGATTTGTATACCATGAAATCTGTGCATTGTATGACTCAGCTATACGTTCACAAACCAACTTATTTCTTCCTATATATTTGCTTGTTTAATGATTTGTGTATTTACTTACTGTTTTGAAATTATGGAATGGGGGAGATCTTCCATCCACTGGTTTATTCCCAAAAGGGCTGCAATAGTTGGAATGAGACCAAACTGAAGCAAAGGGTTTAGAATTCCATCTGGGTCAGTCACAGGGGTGGCAGGGGTCTAAGCACTTGAGCCATCTACCACTTCCACTTCCCAGGTGCCTTTGCAGGGAGCTGGATTGGAAATGGAATAGCCAGGACTTAAACCACCATTCTAGATGCAGCATGCTGGTATCAAGCAGTGGCTTAACTTGATACAGCACAATGCTAGCCCCTAGTCCGATATTTTTTGAAATTTCTGAAACTATGTTTCAGATTAGTTCTTCAAACATAGCTATGTTGTTCAGTCCACCCATGTGTCTAGATCCACAGTAGCTTGGATATATCTTGTGTTATGGAGTCAGAGGGATACAGGGTTGGGCTCCACCCTTCAGCCCTGTGACTTTGAGCCTGGTGGTGTGCACTGTCCCTTGGCCTTGTTTGCTCGACTGTAAAATGAGCATGGGAGGGCTGTGCAGGTGAGTACGTGGTAAGCCGGGGGCCTATAAAGCTTATGTCCAATCTGGGAGGCAAGACTGGAACACTGGCAGAATGACTGGGCGACAGGCTCCCCAGCAGTCTGGACTTAGCTGCGCAGGAAGCATCTAAACCCTGAGCCTTCCCTGCCCGGACACTGGTCCTTCCCCCACCTTCTGCATTGTTCTTTTGTTCAGAGAGACTCCATGTCCATCTCTGTGTGACCTGATTAACTGAGTCACGTGTCAGTGCCGTCTTCACTCCCAATCTGTGGAGCTCAGACTTACTTGGCATCGGCTGGAGCTGTGAGCTCCATGCCATTCTGGTCCCCACCACAGCCCCTCCTGCCCTGCGCAGTGGGCCCTCTGCTGTGCCTGCTAACCCAAGATGTGCCCCCAGCCTGCCTCAACCTCCGGGTCTACAGACATCCCTCACCTGCCCCTCCGAAGCACCTTCCTTCCAGCTCTTCTAGCTCCCACCCATGCTGGCCCCACAGACAGGGTCCATTTGGTCATGCCTAGGCCCTGGCTTCATGCTTGGACAACCTGCCTGGGCAGCGGGCCAGACCAGGCAGCTGGGTAAGCAGGGGGAGGTGTCTGATGGAATGTGAGGGACTTGTGTGGTTATTACTTTAACTCAAATGCTCTGAACAGCCACAGTGAGCCTTGGGCTTTTTGGTTTGTTGAGATACTGATCAGCTGGGAGCCAACAACACCTCTGCTTGCATCCCTAGTTCTCAGCCAGGCCATGCCTCCCTCCTCCTCCAAGCAGAACCAGGGTCTCTGCTTCCTGCCGCCCTCCCTCTGGGGAGACCCCACCCTCTGGAGTTCCTTTCGGTCGCTGCCTGCTACCTAGCCTTTCTCACTCTGAACTCTTGGGTTTCCTGCCAGGATTGTGTACTTTTGGCACTAAAGCAGGGTCTAAGGCCTCTTATTGTTTAGCTGGTCTGTGTGTGTACAACTTGTTTGCATCCAGACACCGAGTGTCCGGGAAGTGGGGTGCGTGGCTGGTGCATGTGGGTAGCTCCTGCACCACCTGGTGTGTTGCTAGGCATGCAAAAGGCACTTCATATGGAAAGCGGGTGACGAAAGCCAGAATAGGGGCGGGGGGGAACTGTCATTCATTCTTCCGAGAGCGTCTCCCTGGGATGTGTTCTTGGTCCCAATCCCAGACCCTGGGTAGAAACGGAAAAGGCATGAGGTTGAAAACCTTGGTGACAGCCACATGGTGAGTGACAGGATCCACTGAGAACTTAGCCCAGGTGTCCTGGTCTCAAGCTGAGGCTGCAGGTGCCTTCTGCTCTGTGACAATTCTTCCAGTTGGGGTCTCCTTGCTGCCTCTCAGTGTAGGTGTGCTTGGCAGTGCATGCATTCTTTGTGTGTGTGTGTGTGTGTGTGTGTTCGCGTGTGTGCGCGAGGGTAGCCAACAGTTGTCCAAGCAAAGCCTGCCAAATCCATAGAGTAGTTGTGGAATACGTGAGCTTGCGTGTGAAGCCTGGGGGGGATGGCCCCCTTCAAGATCAGCCAGACACATGGTGCTGCTGGCCAGGGTCCACTGGGCAGGACACAGAGCTCATGGAGGGTGTTGGGTGGAGAACCCCAGAGAGCCTGTACCTTACCATTTGGGCCCCATTGTTAGGGAGCGACTGGGAGGTCTCGAGGAGTCCTTTTCCAGGGCAAGTGCATTACCTTCTGGAATCCCCCCTGCTCTGCCCACCCCATGGTGAGCCTGAGCATTTGGCAGCCCCTACCTCCTCAGGGCATCTGTGCTATTCCTCGTCTCCCCTGGGCCCTTGTATTTGGGTGGGCTAGGGTGTGGGGCTCAGGGAGCAGACTGTCACCTCACGCTGCACCCTGCCCTCCAGCCAGAAGAGCTGACCAATGCCCTGGAAATCAGCAACATCGTCTTCACCAGCCTCTTTGCCCTGGAGATGCTGCTGAAGCTGCTCGTGTATGGCCCCTTCGGCTACATTAAGAATCCCTACAACATCTTTGATGGCGTCATTGTTGTCATCAGGTGCGCCACTGCCTCCTGTGTGAAAGCCAGAGTGGGCATGGGGGGTGAGGCTGGGATCATGAGGCTTGTTGCCCCCTCGCCTGGCGTTCTGCCAGGCACCCCCATGCTCCACACTGCGTTCTCTCTCTTGGCCCCACCTGGGCTCACATCCTCTTCCCCCAGGCTTGGGGGGTGAGGACTGGAAAGGTAGCTTTGAAGAGAGCAGTAAGAGGAGGAGGTCCTGCTTACAAAGTGTTTGGAAACTCATGTGGATGTAGTGGTAACTTGCTTGAGGGGTTCCAAGACCTGGGGAAAGGGCTCCAGGTCCCACTCTCCCTCTCTCACCAGCCCAGGGCTAGGAGAACTGCTTTGTTGCTTTTTGGAATCAGTTGCTTTTTGGAATCAGTTTTAGATTTCATTAGGAGAGAGCAAAGCAAAAGCAAAAATTCCATAACCTGATGTGCTTGCCTTGGCCGGAACTGGGAGAGGGCTGCCGGCTGCTGTGGCTGCCAGGAGGTGATCTGGGGTGGAGGGACCTGGGGCTGCCTCCACCCTGAGACCTCGCTGTCCCCACGGCTCCTTTCTGGAGGCCCCAGGTGCACAGTGTGCCAAGGGTGCAGGTGTGCGAGTGCTCTGAAAGGAGGGGCAGAGAAGGGGGTCGGTACAGGGGCTGAAACTGCACCGGTCCTCCTGCCCTCCCCGCAGCGTGTGGGAGATCGTAGGCCAGCAGGGGGGCGGCCTGTCGGTGCTGCGGACTTTCCGCCTGATGCGGGTGCTGAAGCTGGTGCGCTTCCTGCCGGCGCTGCAGCGGCAGCTTGTGGTGCTCATGAAGACCATGGACAACGTGGCCACCTTCTGCATGCTGCTTATGCTCTTCATCTTCATCTTCAGGTGAGCGCCACCAGGGAGGTGGGCAGGGGCTGGGCTAGGAGGGCTGGCAGGGATACTGGGGATCCTGATCCCTGCCCATGGCTCCCCTGTGTGTCCTCAGCATCCTGGGCATGCACCTCTTCGGCTGTAAGTTTGCATCCGAGCGGGACGGGGATACACTGCCGGACCGCAAGAATTTTGACTCCCTGCTGTGGGCCATTGTCACCGTCTTTCAGGTGCCAAGGGTGACGGGGGCAGCCAGGGTCAGGGGCAGTCAGATACCCTGGGTTGGGGTCCTCACCCCTGTCCTCTGCCCCCAGATCCTGACCCAGGAGGACTGGAACAAAGTCCTCTACAACGGCATGGCCTCCACGTCATCCTGGGCCGCCCTCTATTTCATCGCACTCATGACCTTCGGCAACTATGTGCTCTTTAACCTGCTGGTCGCCATTCTGGTGGAGGGCTTCCAGGCGGAGGTGATCCCTTGCCCTGCCCACTTCAGCCATCAACTACAGTCCCATCTTCCGTGGTTGGGGAACAGGAGGAGTTGGTTGAACCTCCTTCTCCCTCCTCTATTGTGTTGAGCTGGGGAGGGGGAGGAGATCCTATAGGAAGTGCCCCTCTGACTGAGCAGGGGTGGACAGCTGTGAGTCTCCTTATCATGTGATGGTTGAGTGGGGTCTTGGGCCAGGGTTAGCTGCTTGATGGCTTTTGTCTCAAAATCAGCGAGACTGCCTCAGCAAGGTGGGGACAGGATTGGGGGAGGGGACGCAGGGGGAGGAAGCTGGGAGTCAGACCCCAGAACTCGAATGCTCTGTGGGACCCATTGGAGCCAAAGGGTGCAGGAGGTTGATGTGTGAGTCCTGAGAACTCGGGCTGAACTGATGGAGATGCCACCAGGGCCCTGGGTGGGACTGAGCTGCCCAGGGTGAGAAATGAACCCAATTAGCCACGGGAATGGCAGAGATGAGCGTCCTATTTCCAGCCCAGCTCAGTCACCGCCGTCACAGGCAGCGTCATCAATTAATATTGATTTACATTGATCCTGCCCTTGCTGTGCCAGGGCACAGCCTGTGCCTAGAGGACCCACAGCTGCTGCCGTCCCCACCCAAGCTCTCAGGGTCATGCCTACAACAGGCCGCTTGACCCAACCTAGAAATGCTGCAGGTTGGACCGGGAGATGCTCTTGGTCCAATTCTCTCCAGGTGACCCGGATGGAAACTCCCGCTGCGGCCTGCTCTATAAATACCCGGCACATGGTGGAAAAACAAAAATCTATTTTCCGACTCTTGCCTGGCCCTGCCAGGGAGGGCTGTTCCCCGTGGGCTGTGCTGGCTGGTGGGACGCGAGTGTGCGTTTCCCACACCGACCCCTCTCCCTGTTTCTGTTTGAATTCCGTGGCTGTCCTCACTGGCAATGCTTCCTCTGCTGGGTGGCAGCAGGGGCAGCTTGTGGGGAAGGCAAGGGAAGACATTGGCATCCCACCACCTTGCTGGGACCCCCTGTTTGGGACACAGATTTTGGGGTTCTCTGAGGCCTGTTACCTTCTGCCATAAGAACCAGCCTCTCCTTGGACTCTTGAGAGATGATGGGTGATGATCGGGGTGCTGCTTAGCTCCCTTATGAATGGCAGCTTCTGGCAGCTAAGGTTCCCTGGGAAAATTGCTAGGAAACTCAGAGTCAAGTGGGGGCGGGATGGAAAACACCCCCCTGTCTGCTCTTGTCCTCTGCACCATCCAGCCAGCTGCTGCCTTGTGTCCCTATGGGCGCCACCCTCCCCTCCCTCCCGCCATCTCTGGCCCTTCCACCAACACCTTGTTACATGGGAGAGCAACTGAGCTGCCCGTTGCTAGGCAGCAACAGAGACTGAGTGTGGGAACCAGGCCACTCGCCTTGGCCTGGTCACCATGGCCCTGCTGGGGGTCTTTGGACAGCCGTAACTTGGAGGATGCCAAGATTTTGGTGGCCACACCCTCCTTGAAGTGCCTTTGTGGGCACGTGGGATCTTGGGTTGTGATGCTTTGCATCTGGGGTGGGATGCAAAGGAGATTTCAAAGTGAGTCCTCTCTATGGGAGTGAGCAGCAGTCAGGACATTGATGTGCCTGTGCGAGAGACTGAGCCAGGGGCTGCGCTGTGCTGTACTTTACAGAGACGTGGGAAGGGGAGGTGTTGGTTGATGCCAGTGACCTGAACACCTCCAGGGGCTCTTGCCATCTGCTGTAGAGTTGTTCACAGGCCCACTGCTAGCAGGGAGGGGTCGGTTTTGTCACAGCACAAGAAGCAGCTGTGCCCTGGATGAGCCTCCCTGCTCCTCGCCCTGCTATCCTTGCCTTCCGTGCCAGAAGGTGGAGGCAGAGCAGAACCTGCATGACTTCTGATGTCCTGACTTGCAGGGGGGCAGTATCTGAACCCCCATCTGTAATTCCAGTGCATACTTAGTTAAATGAGCAGGCAGTAGATCCTGCGTGGGGCAGTTCACCAATGCAGAGCCACATCCCCAGTACCACTTGTCCATCCGTGCCGACTAGGAGGGAGCTAGGAGGCCTCTTTCTGCCCCTTGTTGCATCCCATGCTGACCGTTCCTGCAGCCCTGCTTCCCACCCTCCATGCCCGTCCTCCCCGAGCCTAGAGCCGAGGAGAGAAAAGCTATGTTTTGAGCTGGAGATCCCAGTCATGCCACTTGGGGCACTTTCCCTGACCTCTCTAAACCTCACAGCGAGCGAGCGGGGCAGATGAAGCTGGTTCACAGTGCCAGGCATGTTCTCCGTGGATGCTGGCTCCGGTCAGGGTCTTTGAGGGGCTTTGTTCCTTCCTGCCCTGTCCCCATCTTCTAGCCTCTGCCCATACCCTTCAGATTCGTGCTGGCCTGGGGGCCGGTGGCTGAATTCTGGAAGGCTGCCCTGTCCCCTCTCCTGTGTCTCCCGCCCCACTGTACTGTGGGTTTTGGCATCCCTTCTCTTCTGACGCTGCCTGCTGGCGTCCGAAGGCCCCAGCGCCTGTGACCAGTGCGCCTCCCCTGCCTCCCCCCCTCTCCCTGTAGGAAATCAGCAAACGGGAAGATACGAGTGGACAGTTAAGCTGTATTCAGCTGCCTGTCGACTCCCAGGGGGTAGGTACGCAATCCTGAGTTGGCATGTCCCTGTGCCCCGTGCCCCCTCCGCCTCCATGTCTGTGCTCATGTCACGCTCTGCTGCTGTGCAACTGTGGTGGTCATTGGTGTTGTGAGGTTTGCTTCGATTTTAAGTCCCTTTCCCTGGAGGACATGGGAAGGAGGTGCCTCCGAGCCTCTGCCCCCAGCACCACACACAGGGCACGGCTCCTGTCTACTGGCCCGCCGGACAGGGCCAGGGAAGGAAGGGACTTATAATCCTCTGTGTGCATATGTGTGGGGCACGGTCAGGACTGTGGTTGTAAGACTGCTCCTCATCTGTCCCCTCTACACCCTCCCCCAGGTCCCTGTAGGGGGAGCTTACTAACTGCCTCCACTCACGGAGATGTTCTGGGAGGACATGGACATGGGATGTGACTCTTGCTAGAGGCACCAGAATTAGAGTCTTGGGTCCCCTTGTCACACCCAGTGAGGTCCTGCCAGCAACTTGGGGTGTGTCCCTCCTCTGGTCCCTGCATGGAGCCTGTGCCCTGCTGTTGTTTGCACCAGCACCGGAATTTGGGACAAAGCCAGGATCCCCCCACCCCCCGCAAAGGACCCCACAGTGCTATGCGTCACAAGCAGCCCCCTGGAGATTACACTTGATAATTAAAGGCCTCGTTAGGGATGTAAACTGAGTTAATGAAAATGATCCCCCGAGATGCCAATTACCCAATATTTATGTCCTTATCAAAAGTAGCAATCAAGTATTTTTTTAATAACTTCTTAAGGAGAAGTGTGTAATTACTGGGGAACCTACTGACCTGCTAAGAAGGATGAAAAAAACTGTCCCAGAGACAGGGAGAGAGGTGAAAAAAATTTTTTTTTCAAAAAATGGGGCCGGGGAGGGATAGGGTCTTGGGGAAGGGAGGAGGCAGAGGGACCCCTGGCACTGAGCTGTGCTATCTGGGGTCTGCGGCTTGAGGGAGGTGCCTTGCGGAGCTGAGACAGGGACTCCCAGTGGACTTTGGGAATTGAGGCTCCAGTGACCACTTCCCCCATGCCCCCAGCTCCTTTGAGCTGTGCCATCTGCCTGCCCAGCTACCCCTAGCCACCCACCAATTCTGGTAGTGCTTTGTGCTGGGGTTAGCTGTGACCTTTTCAGAGGTATGAACACGGGAAGACAAAGGCCTCAGGAAGCCTTGGGTGGAGTGGCCTGTACCAGTGCATGCCCTGTGCCGTGATGGCTGGTTCTGTGGCCTGTGTGTGTGTGTGTGTGCGCGCGCGCGTGCGCGCGCGTGTGTGTGTGTGTGTGTGTGTGTAGAGACCGTAGTCCATTATGGTGACCCCTGTTTGGCTGTATCCCTGATAACCTGCTACTCCCCTGCCTTAGGGAGATGCCACCAAGTCAGAGTCGGAGCCTGATGTCTTCTCGCCCAGCCTGGATGGTGAGGGGGACAGGAAGAAGCACTTGGCCTGTGAGTACCTGCCTTATAGGGGCAGCCTCTGGCTCCCAGGCTGCTGTGAGTGGACTCAGGGTCTCTCCTCTCTCTCTCTCTCCTCCCCTTCCATTGCCCCCACACCTGCTGGCAGTGGTGTCCCTGGGGGAGCACCCAGAGCTGCGGAAGAGTTTGCTGCCTCCTCTCATCATTCACACAGCCGCCACACCCATGTCGCTGCCCAAGAGCAACAGCACGGGCCTGGGCGAGGCTCTGGGTCCCGGCTCCCGCCGCACCAGCAGCAGCGGCTCCGCCGAGCCCGGGGCAGCCCCCGAGATGAAGTCACCGGTAGGGGTACATGCAGGTGGGAGATATTTGGAGGAAGAAGGGATAGGACGGGGGTGGGGACAGGCCCTGGACTGTGGGCTGGATGGGCTCCAGGGGAGTCCCAGAGTTGGTGATGCAACTGTGACTTTGGAGACAAGAGGGCAGGTTCTCCTGGGCCCAAACTGAGTAATCTTGGACAAGAACTGGATCTTGCTGAGCCTCTTCTGTCAGGTGGGAGAAGGGTGCCGTATGTCTAAGATGTATTTATTTGTTATAGGGCAGTTACAGAGACAGGAAGAGAAAGCTAGATCTTCCATTTACTGATTCCCTTTCCAACTGAAGCTGAGCTATGCTGAAGCTTCCTGCAAATCAGCCTCATGGGTGTAGGTGCCCAAGCACTTGGACCATCTCATTGCTTTCCCAGGCCATTAGCAGGGAGCTAGATTGAACATGTAACTGCTGAGACTAGAACCAGTGCCCATATGGGATGCCAGTATTACAGGCAGTGACTTAATTTGCTACGCCATGATACTGACCCCCCTCACTTTTAGTTTGTTTTTATAATTTATTATTATTATTTTATTTATTTTATTTTTATTGGAAAGTCAGGTATACAAGAGAGGAAGAGAGACAGAGGAAGATCTTCCATCCGTTGATTTACTCCCCAAACAGCCTCAAGGATCAGAGCTGCGCCAATCCAAAGCCAGGGGCCAGGAGCCTCCTCCCACGCAGGTGCAGGGTCCCAAGGCTTTGGGCTGTCCTTGACTGCCTTCCCAGGCCACAAGCAGGGAGCCGGATGGGAAGCAGGGCTGCCGGGATTAGAACCGGTGCCCATATGGGATCCCAGCACATGTGAGGCAAGGACTTTAGCTGTGAGGCTACCATGCCAGGCCCTATAATTTTATTTTAAGTGACAAATAATAGTCTTACATATTTGTGAGGATACCCTGTGTCATTTTGATATGCATATTATTGAGTGATTAAGTCAAGCTGATTAAGCTAACCACTGTTTCACATACTTACTTTTTTGTGAAAACATTTAAAATCTCCTCTCTTAGCAATTGTAAAATAAACATAACATTATTACCCACAATACTCAATATGCTGTGCAAGAAATCTCAAAAGCATTCCTCTTATCTAACTGAAAGTTTTATCTTTAAAAAAATTCTTCATAAAATTCAAAATTTTAAATAAAAATAAACTAAAAATTGTTTTTTAAAAAATATGACTTTCCAGTAAAGATAAATAAAGCTTTAAAACAGTTCTTTATTTTTGAGAGGCAGAGCGGCAAATGCAGAGACAGAGAGATCTGCCATCCATTCCCCAAATGCCTCCCGCAGCCAGGGTTGAGTCAGGCTGAAGTTATGAGCCAGGCGGTTAGCCCGGGTCTCCCGTACAGATGGCAGGGACCAAGGGACTCGGGTCATCACTGCTGCAACTCCAGGTGCACGCTAGCATGCAGCTGAATTGGAAGCAAGGTCTTTCTTGAGTCTAAGACTTGGGCTGTGGGATCCACATATCCTAAGTGACTTAGCAGGCCCATTTTTTTAAAAAAAAAAATTTCTTTATTATTTATTTGAAAGGCAGATTTATGGAGAGAAGGAGAAATAGAAAGATCTTCCATCTGCTGGTTCAATCTGCAAATGGTCACAGTGGCCGGAGCTGAGCCAATCCAAAGCCAGGAGCCAGACACCCCCTCTTTGTCTCCCACATGGTGCAGGAGTCAAAGGCTTTGGGCTATCCTCTGCTGCTTTCCCAGGCCATAAGTAGGGAGCTGGATTGGAAGTGGAGCAGTTGGGACACAAACCGGTGTCCATCTGAAAGCCGGCACTGGCAGGTGAAGGATTAGCCTATTGAGCCACTGCACCTTTTGACCTACATCTCCTCACTGCCACCCCTCCGGCCACTATCCCACTTTCTGCTTCTGTGAGTTTTACATTTTTGGCTTCCACAGAGAGTTGAGATCATGTGGTATTTGTCTTTCTGGGCCGGGCTTATTTCACTTAGCCTCTTGGTGGCTTGTCGCAGGATTTCCTTCTTTGAGGCCGAGTAGTATTCCATCGCGTGTCTGTGCACCACATTTCCTTTACACAGTCATCTAACGATGGATGCTTCTGTTGACTGCATGTGTTGGCTGTCGTGAATAGTGCTCAGCGAACATGGGTGTGCACCTACGTCTTCCGCATACTGATTTTAAATCTTTTGGACGTATACCCAGGAGTGGGCTAGCTGGATCATATGGTAGTTCTATTTTCAGTGCTTGGAGAAACCTCCGTAATGGCAGTGCTAATTTACATTCCCACCAACAGTGCGTCGGGTTCCCTTTTCTCCACACCCTCAACAACCCGTTATCCATCTTCATTTAATCTGTTATAGCTGCCATAGCAGGTGTGAGGTGATATCTCATTGTGCCTTTAATCTGTGTGTCCCTGATGATTAGTGATCCCAAGCCTTCTTTTGTGTATCTGTCACCATTGGTAGATCTTCTTTGAGGAAACATCTATTCAGGTCCTTTGCCTGTTTTTAAAATGGGGTGTTTTCTTGCTGTTGAGTTGTTTTATGTGCTTCTTGCCATGCTTTTCCGCCCCCGCTCAGCTGAGGGAAACATTTGAGGAATAAGCACCATGGCCTTCTCTGTAGGACAGCTAAGAAAGAGGAGGCACAGAGAGGTTTACTGTCTCCCCACAGGTTGCACAGCTGCTTGGGTCTGACCCCAAGCATGAGTCCTGGGCTTCTGCTCACACAGCTCTGGAGATGATAGGGTGCCAACAGAGGTTCACAGGTGAGGGAGTGTACATGAGGGTTCAGGGCCTTGTCGCCCCTGGCTGAAACCATTCCGTTCTCCTCACCCTTCAGCCAAGTGCTCGCAGCTCCCCGCACAGTCCCTGGAGTGCGGCCAGCAGCTGGACCAGCCGGCGTTCTAGCCGCAACAGCCTGGGCCGCGCCCCCAGCCTCAAGCGGAGGAGCCCAAGTGGGGAGAGGCGGTCCCTGCTGTCCGGTGAGGGCCGGGAGAGCCAGGACGAGGAGAGCTCGGAGGAGGAGCGGGCCAGCCCTGCCGGCAGTGACCGTTGCCACAGGGGCTCCCTGGAGCGGGAAGCCAAGAGCTCCTTTGACCTGCCGGACACGCTGCAGGTGCCTGGGCTGCACCGCACAGCCAGTGGCCGCAGCTCTGCCTCTGAGCACCAGGACTGCAATGGCAAGTCATCTTCGGGGCGCCTGGCCCGGGCCCTGCGGCCCGATGACCCCCCATTGGATGGGGATGACGGCGATGACGAGGGCAACCTGGTGAGGTCCCTGTGGGCACAGTGACCTTGAGAGTGGGGAGCTGTGCCCAGCCCAGCAGAGAGCAAGGAGTTACCATGCCAAGCCCTTGACCTTGACCATGACTTCCCAACAACCCCTCTTCCCCTCTGCCTGCCCTGCCTGGGGCTGTGGCACTGCGGTCCGGGAGGATATGAATGGCTTCGGGCAGATGCATATGAATCTTTCATGGCCCTCCCCCTGTGACTCAGAAAGACCCATCACTCATCTCTCCAAACTGGTCCCAACCCCCTTTCTCATCTGGACCTCATCACAAGCTTTGATTTGGCAGCTTGTCCTTATCCGTCCCTCTTCCCCACCCCCAGTGCTCCTGTCCCATTTCCCTAGAGCTGTGGGTTGCAGGGACTGAGACCGCAGGGTTAGCTCGGCAAGAGCCACTGTCTCCTCAAGGAGGTGTATGTTTGAACAGATAGATGCCCTGGGGACAATGTTTGGTCACTGATGCTGCTTCCAAGTCCTGGGGGGCGGTGTGTGTGGAGGGGACGCAGGGTAGGGGCAGGCAGAGGGCTGGGCTGGAGGCAGGTGTGGGCCCTGAGGAGAGAACCTACAGAAGGGGAGCAAAGAAGGGAGGGGAGAGGGCCGGCAAGGTTTGTAGGGGGCTGGGGAGATGGTTTTAGGAAGGAAGGAAGAAAGCAGGGTGCTGAGGGTCCACAGGAAGACTGGAGACCTGGCACAGCTCACACTGCAATGTTCACCCCGCAGAGCAAAGGGGAACGGATCCGAGCATGGGTCCGGGCCCGGCTCCCTGCCTGCTGCCGCGAGCGAGACACTTGGTCTGCCTACATCTTCCCTCCTCAGTCGAAGTGAGCAAGGGGGCTCTGCCCTGTGTCCCACGATGTCATCTAGAATGCTATAAGTGACATCCTGCCCTAGGGGTGTGGGGAAGGGTTGCACCTACCCCCTCCTAGCCTGGATTTTTGTCCCCATGCAGGTTCCGCCTCCTGTGCCACCGGATCATCACCCACAAGATGTTTGACCACGTGGTCCTTGTCATCATCTTCCTCAACTGCATCACCATTGCCATGGAGCGCCCCAAAATCGACCCTCACAGTGCTGTGAGTACCCAGAATCACAAACAAGCTCGCGACGTCCCATGCCATCCCAGGTCCTTCCTGGAAGTACCATCCAGAGGAAGCACCAAAGGCAGGATGGCTGGGACGGTGACCCTCCTGCCTAGAGTCATGTGGCAAGAAGACGAACACTGAGATTCTCCCTGGGGTCTCTCAGACTCCACACCTTGTTTATGGTCCCTCAAGATGCATCCTGTACCCTCTTTACCTCAGTTTCCTCTCTGTGATCCACCAGCTCAGCTGGTTGCTCTGTTGTACTCTGGGCTGTCTGCGGATGGCATGCTCCCCCAGGGGCCACAGGTGTGTGAGGCTCGTGTGGTCCCTTGAGTGTCATGGTCCTGCCAACAGGAGATGGCCCCAGCATGGCTGGAGTGGTCCTGCCTCCCTTTCTCCCAGCCAAGGATCTTGGTCTTGATGGTGACCTGCACACAAAGGGGGACATGGCACACAGCCTGCCCCAGGGTACTGCCAGATAGGACAGGGAAGCTGCTCGTTGCTCTCTGTGCTCCCGAAGACAAGTAGGTCTTCAAGGGCTGTCATGGGGACGTTGTCACTTCTGCTTGGCTGTGAACCTGTCAGTCTTTCTCGGAAGGGGGAGAAAGACCAGAGGCCTGAGTCTTGACCACAGTGCCTGGGGCCTGGCTTGTTCCCGTGGGTCCAGCAACTCCAAGAACGGTCTCTCCCAGGCCCCTCCTTGCTGGTCCTACAGGGCGGGTAGGTGTGCTTCCCGCCCTCCTCCCATCCCTGGCACTTTGTGCCATTGCCTGGAAATGGCCAGAGGTCCCCTCGCTCCTCTTCACTGCCTCCCACAACTCCGTGTGTATTCCGTTAGGGAGAGTTCCGGCCAGCCTGGATGGACTGGACAGAGCTGAGAAGAGCAGGGGCTGGCGAGGGCTTGCTAGGGGATGGATCACCAGCCCTGAGGACCCCCCGCTGTCCCCATCTTGGGCTTGGAGCTGGTCCCTTTGCCCTGAGCTGCCCTCTCACAGGGCTCTCTGCCCCTGACTCCCAGTCTCCAGCTCTGTCCTGTGCTGGCTCTGCCACCCCGCAGCTACAGACTCTGGCCCCGAACCCTGGGCATTGCAGCTGCCCCTGCCCTGCCCTGGCCCATGTCCAGTATCAGTGTGGTGGCCGGGGAGCCCTGCTGTCCACAATAGGAAAGTGAGTGAAGAGGATGGAATTGCAAATCAGGATGGCATGGCAGGGGTCATGTTAAATCTTCCCCACTTGGGACTCAGTGAATGGGGTCTGGGCTGTGGGACTCACGTGCCAACCTTGAGTTGCACCTCATTGCCTGCTTGGGGCCACATGGTGTGGGCAGAGCTGGGCGGAGACTGTCCACAGAGCTTGGGGCCTCACCCGGGCTGTGTGTGTGTGTGTATGGCAAGGGAAGGGTGACGTCACTGAACAACCTCATTCTGTTTCTGGCAACTGTGTGCAGAGGTTGGGTGGGGAGTCCTGGTGGGCAGCACCTACCTCCTCTCTCTTGTAGGAACGCATCTTCCTGACCCTCTCCAACTACATCTTCACCGCAGTCTTTCTGGCCGAAATGACAGTAAAGGTGATGGGCATAGATGCCATCTGGCCTGTCTGGGTGGGGGTGGTATCACTATGGACCTGACTGAGGGTGGGTGGGTGGGATCTGCAGGGAGAGTGACGAGTGACACCGTGACTATGGTTTCCAGGTGGTGGCACTAGGCTGGTGCTTTGGGGAGCAGGCCTACCTGCGCAGCAGCTGGAACGTGCTGGATGGGCTGCTTGTGCTCATTTCGGTCATCGACATCCTCGTGTCCATGGTCTCAGACAGCGGCACCAAGATCCTGGGCATGCTCAGGGTGCTGCGGCTACTGAGGACCCTGCGCCCACTCAGGTAAGCCCACCTGTCTGCTAGGCATACTTCCTGCCTCCTCACCAGGGTGACCTGCTCTTCAGGGCCACTTGGTAGACACAAACCTTATTGTAACTGTAGAAGCTGTTCTTTGTTTGGTCTTCCTGGGACAACATCTGGCCCACCCCAGAGTGACAGTGCTGTCCTGACAGGCCCTCCACACCTGGCAAGGTTCTGCCTTTTCAGGGAGCCCCTTTAATCAGGAAGCCCTACCCCAACTCAGGTGTCTCAGTTGGGCCGACTATGACTTACTGGTGAGGCGTCCTTGGGTGGGCTTTTTCTCTCCCTGCTGCCCCCTACAAGTCTGTCCTTTGGACCACCACGGCATGCCCCCCCCCCCTTCCTTTGAGATCAGTCCCCTCACCACAGCCCAACTGGGTGATGTGTTTGACATCCCGAGAGCCGGGTATTTGGAAATTATCAGCTATGGGTGGGATGGGAGGGGGAATGTTGTGAAAAGGAGCTTCTGCCCAGCATTCACACAGTGGTGAACCCCCGCTCCACATCCTGCCTCCCAGCACCCAGAAGGGATCCTGCAGGGGTGGGTTTAAGGACCTGTCTGAGCTTAGAGGACCACTCTCAGGAGCTGCCTGCCCTCCCCAGGGTCATCAGCCGGGCACAGGGGCTGAAGCTGGTGGTGGAGACGCTGATGTCCTCACTGAAGCCCATCGGCAACATTGTGGTCATCTGCTGTGCCTTCTTCATCATCTTCGGCATCCTGGGCGTGCAGGTGTGCAGGACCTGGGTACCAGGATTGGGGAAGTCCCAACAGGGCTCTCCTCTTGCCTCTTGGGTCCTGAGCCTTCAGCAGCCCCTGCCTCCTTCTCTGCATCTCTCTTGGCCTCCTGGGCGCTTTGCAGAAGGGCTATGAGCCTCTAAGAGGAGAGCTCCAGGGTGGACCCAGGTCTGAGCAAGGCTTCAGGCTTTCTTACTCACTGGCCGGTACCGTGTGCGGGGGGGATCTCCTCCCTTCCTTTGCTTGCTTTGAGCAGGGCGGGCTGCAGGCCAGGCTTGGGAATCCAGGACCCGACAGCTGGGCCAGGTTAGCGGCTGCTGGCAGGCAGTCGGCGCAGACCCCAGACAAGGCAGGAAGTGGGGGCTGTGATGCAGGGGAGGGGGTGGGGAGGACTGGCCTCCTGCCCAGGGAGGAAACTTGGCTTTGGAGGTAAGAGAGGCAGAGCTGCCTGCAGGAGTCATCAGATGCCTGGTGGGGCTGGCGGGGAGCTGGGGAGCCCCTCCACTCTGGTCTGCCCATGCCTCTGCTCCAGATGCTTCGTCTGCAGGGCAGACAGCTGGCTGTTGGGGCAGCGTGGGAGCCCCTGTGGCCACTAGCCGCCCCTCCCCTCCCTTCTTCTCTCAGCTTCCTGGGATGTCCTCTCTGCCCTGGGGAGAGGCTGTTCCCTGGTTTCCTAGAAATTCTCTAGCCCTAGGACCAAGCTTCACTTGCCAAGGCTGTGGGGTGCCTCTGTGCTCGCGCCTGCCACACACACACATGCCCTGGAGCCCTTTGGCTTACCAGAGTGACCATTGTTGCGCCCCATCCTGGGCCTACTCTGGTGGCCTCAGTGTGTCCCCAGCAGCATACTCAGGCCCCTGGTCCTCCCTCCTTTCCCTCTAGTTCCTGCCCCATCAAGTCCTAGCCTGGCTGGCAGTGCAAGGAGGGTGAGCCTTCTGGGCCAATAGAGCTGGGCTCCAGTCTCCCTTTCTATCACCTGCTGGCTTTGAATTAACTTCTCTAAACCTCAGTTTTGCTCATCTGTAAAGTGGAATTGATGACAGTTATTGCATGTCCTCTCCCTCTCAATATCCGTAGATATTGTGAAAATTTAAAACCCAACTCGAATGTGACCACAGTCACCTGGATGGCTTGTCGTACTGTCTAAAGGGGCAGGCACTCAGCCTAGTGGTTAGGATGCCTGCATAGCACATCACAGGGCCTGGGTTTGAGTCCTGGCTCTGCCCTTTGATCCCAGCTTCCCTGGGAGGCAGGGCTGATGGCTCAAGTCATTGGCTTCCTGCCACCTACACCTGGGTTGTATCCCTGGCTCCAACTTTAGTCCAGCCCAGCCCCAATAAACAAACGGCAGGGAGCTCTCTGTCTCTCAGCCTATCCAATAAATTCAACCCCCAGCCCAGAGTGTGGGGTTCAGTGAGCTGAGAGGCCTGAGAATGTGCATTCCTAGCATGTTCCATGTGACCCTGGTGGGACAGATCCCCTACCCCCAACTTCCTTGAGCACTGCCTCCCTAACCTTTGGTGGGAGATGAAGGAGTGGTCCCCCTACTTTCTTGGTACCTGCCCTAATATCCTGACCTTCTCTGTGTAAGGAAAGGAAGAGGGTACAGGGGAGGGGAGAGCCTGGTCAGTGTTTCCCAGTTTGGCTGAGCCCCAAGCTGTGTGTGCTCAGGCCGCTGGGACAGGGCTGAGCTGGGGCTGGGGGCTCTGGACTTCTGGGGCCAGGCTTGCCTCACTCGGGCTCTCTGTGTGTGTCCAGCTCTTCAAAGGCAAGTTCTTCGTGTGTCAGGGCGAGGACACCAGAAACATCACCAACAAGTCGGACTGTGCCGAGGCCAGTTACCGGTGGGTTCGACACAAGTACAACTTCGACAACTTGGGCCAGGTGAGCTCCAGGCACCGAGGGAGGGTTGGTGGTGGAAAGTGTCAGGTTCAATGCTGACTCAGCTGGAGATCTGGCCCCTAGCTCCTCCCCCTTCTGTTCCACTGCCAACCTGGCCATGCCACAACTGTCCAGCTAATCTTTCGGCCTCTTTGAGAGCTGGGACTGGAGAGGGTCCGGGGGTGGCCGAGGGCCACAGAACTGCACGTGTGAGGTTGGGAGCAGACAGCACTGGACGTCAGTCCCCGCACACTGTGATGTCAGCCTGGTGACCCTGGACAGCTGACTTCCGGGAGTCTTGGTTTTGTCAGTTGACTCATGGGGCCCTAACAGCATCTTCTTGGAGTCACAGTAAGATACATTAGGATGACATGCATGCTGCCTCAGTATGCTGCAGGGTGCAGGCAGACAGAATCAAGCTCTCTCCCTCGTGTGCATGGAGAACCACAGAGCATGGAGAGGCCTGCCCAGTATTGCCCATTTGATTCCCAGACCCTCCTTGGGTTTAGTGTCAGGACTTTGCTCAGGTCATTTGCTCTGCCTGTCTGAGACAAGAGGCTGTGACTATCTCCCCTGCCTTCAGGCCAGCCAGGCAACCCTGAGACTAACCACAGCCTTGCCCCCTCAAGGGCTGGGAGACCCCCAAGCTGCCTCCAGGAGGGACTCTGAGGACAGCTGCTGGGTGATCCAGTCACACATTCTAGATTTCAGGTGGTCTCCCTCATTCACTCCCATCTCCCCTCCCCAGGCCTTGATGTCCCTGTTTGTGCTGGCCTCCAAGGATGGCTGGGTGGACATCATGTACGATGGACTGGATGCCGTGGGAGTGGACCAGCAGGTAGGGCTGGGAGTAGTTGGACTCACATTGGGGCTCAGGGCTCTGCCTACATAGTAGGTGCAGGAATTGAGTGGAAAGGACAAGACAGGTTGGTAAACACCATCAGAGTGGCCTAGCATCTGTAGCAGAGGCCCCATCCAATGGCCCATGGGCCCAATTGGTTCAGCTTTGGTTAGCCGTGACACATCTAACATATTTTTTAATTATAAACCTGCAGTATAAACTTGCAGTAGTTGATTTCATTGGACAATCCAAGTTGGCTCAGCAGCAGTCTGAGGCTTGGGAATACTGGAGCAGTTACCCCTTAGGGTGGGGGGGGTCAGCTGGACCCAATCATGAAAGGGGCCAACATTGTGGCCTAATAGGTGTATTTGTCACCTGCTAAAGTCAAGCCCCAGCTGCTCCACTTCCGATCCTGCTGCCTATTAATGCATCTGGGAAAGCAGTGGAAGATGGCCCAAGTATTTGGGCCCCTGAGCCCAAGTAGGAGACCTGGATGAAGCTCCTGGCTCCTGGCTTCAGCCTGACCCAATTTGGGCCATTGTGACCATAGAGGCAATGAACCAGCAGATAGAAGCCCCCTCTCTCTGTAACTCTGCCTTTCAAATAAATACAGAATAAAAGCTCTTTTTTAAAAAAAAAAAAGTTTATGAAAATTGAAAAATTTTCATTTTAGGCACCAAATAAGCACATCTTCTAATTTCATTTTTCCACACACTTTGCATAGGACCTATCTACCTTCTACTTTGCCACAGTCCCTACCCCTCCTTGCTACATAACACCAAGCCCACAGCACTCACGTGCATCCCCTATCAGGTGCTTGGAGCTCTGGGAACCCAGGCTGGGGGCGGCCCCAGAGACTGTTGGTCCCGGGGCTGATGCCTGCACCTGTGCTTGCTGCTCCCCACCAGCCCATTATGAACCACAACCCCTGGATGCTGCTCTACTTCATCTCGTTCCTGCTCATCGTGGCATTCTTCGTCCTGAACATGTTTGTGGGCGTGGTGGTGGAGAACTTCCATAAGTGCCGGCAGCACCAGGAGGAAGAGGAGGCCCGACGACGGGAGGAGAAGCGCCTGCGAAGACTGGAGAAAAAGAGAAGGAGTAAGGAGAAGCAGATGGCTGGTCGGTAGTCTTTCCACATCTCTCTGGGTCATGCTTGACCTTGGCCTTGCGACTGCAGAGGGGCCAGGGACTGAGGCAGGAGTGGGGGGCAGGGAGAAGATGCTCCCACTGCCCCCCAACTCCTCACCTCCTCGCCCCCAACAGCATGTCTGCCATTAGAGTATGCATGAAGCAGTTCAGCTCCCTAGGTCTCTGTAGCACCACACTTCTCAGACGGTGCCTGGTGGGAGCTGCCGCACAGCCTTGTGACATGGGTACTTGGTGCTACCTTGTCCTGTGCCAGCGTCCAGTGACCCAGGGATTGCTGCAGATGTTGGTCCTGCCCACCCTGGGGTTGGCAACCAGGCATCTTGACCTTGTGCTAGCCCAGTGTCTGTAGCTGCCCTAGCAGCGCCTGCAAAGGGGGTAACAACTGAGAGACACGGGTCCCCACTTCCCAGCTTCTTGACCGTTGAGGGTTTGATGGGTTTTTGTTTTTGCAAAACCAGCACAGGGAAGGTCTGAGGCCACAGGAATTCCATAAACTCATGACTGTCTGGCCTTTGATTCCCCCCCAGCCCCTCCGCTGCACGCTGCAGGAGCTCTCTGAATGAGTGGATGAGGACCGCAGTCCCATCCCTCCGGGTGCCCTCCTGCTACGGGTAGCCGAGTCTCCCTGCCAAGAGTCAGGGAGGGAGGTGAGAGACGCGAGGGTGCAAGGCAGCCCTGCTGATGGCGTGTTACAGGTGCGTCTGCACCTGGCTGGCTGTTCTCAGGACTCCTGCCTGTCTGGTGCTCCACCATCTCCCTGCCCCTCTCTCTTCCTGTGGCAGCCCTCATCTCTCCACGAGTCTGCGTGTGTAGATTGCTTGGTGCAATGGAGTGTCTGTATGTGTCTACTCTGTTTGGTCTGTGGGTCTCCCTTGCTCTCTTCACCCTCTCACAAGCGGCTTCCTTCTGCCGATGAGATGCGTGCTGTTCTCTGAGTGCCCCCTTTTGGTGTGTGGAAATGTGAGTACCAGCCCCTCTGTCCTCAGCTCCATCTCCTGTTGCCCCGGGAGGAAGAAGGTGTTTGTGGGGAGTCACAAAGGTAAATGGGGATGGGATGGAGTCAGTGCTCCCTGTGGAAAGGGGTGATTCAGGGAGACATGAAGGGGTCACAGGTTTTCAGGCAGCCTCAGGCTGTATGATTTTCTGCACCCCACATTCATCCCCAAGCCCCTGAGGCCCCCCTGCTTGGCTCTGGGGTGGAGGTCTGACTCCAGCTTCCCTGTGAATGTTGGAAGCCTAGCAGGTGCACCATCCTCTGTGCCCACCCCCTCATGTAGTGGGCAGCCTCAGTGAGGGGCATCCGCAGATGAAATCCTTTAGATAGGATGCACTTGTGGGCTTTGCCTTGCCACTGCAAGGAGGCTGAGGGCTAGGGCAGGGTGGGATAGAGAGAGGTACTCCCACCCCATTCCCCAGCTTCTTGCCCCCAGTAGCATATCTGCCTTTAGAGCCTGCCAGTTCAGCCCCTTGCAGGTGGGGAACCGCCCCCTTCCGAGGGTGCTCCCTGGGTCTCAGTAGCACCATGCTCACTAGATGATGCCACACAAGGCTAACAGTCTGGGGTCTGTAGGTGTGTCAGGTGCAGCTGAGGCCGCCGCAGTGCAAATAGGAGTGGACATCTGTTCTCATGACGGACAGGCTGCCTGCCCCTCCTGAAGCCTCCCCCAACAAGCTGGCTGAATTGCTTGTCCTCTCAAAAGTTCTGTGTCCCTCCCACCCCTTTCACAGGCAGGAAAGGGTCAAAGCCGAGGGGGAAGCGAGCTCCTGCCAAGCGCGCGTGGTCCGGCCAGTGACCCATGTCGTATTTCGTTCTTTTAGATCTAATGCTGGACGATGTAATTGCTTCCGGCAGCTCAGCCAGTGCTGCGTCAGGTACTGCGTCTGGGGTCGGGTTCATGCGTGCGGGGACATGCACTTTGCTCCCTCTCCATGGCTCACTCATTCTGTTCTCCCCTGGGGTGAAGGTCTTTGGGGTCCCTCAAAGGGGCAGGGCTGAAGCACCAGGCTCTGCACCCATTCTGTGGGCCTGTGCTGAACTAGCTGGGAGATGAGGCCCCACTATGTCTGACAGGGCCCCAGCTCCCAGGCTCCTGCTGCCCTCTTTCCACCCACAGCCTCCTCCCCGCCCCCGGCACCTCACCGCTGGATTATTAGAGCCGCAAATCTCTCCCGTCCCCTTTTGTCTGAAGGGGAGACTTTGATGCAGGGGAGCAGGATGAGAGCAGTGGAGGGGGTAAAGAGTTGTTGGAAAAATGTAGCGATGAATAATTGAACAGACTCATTAATAGTGACCACGTCATGGCTACAAACAGCAGGAATTGGCAATCAAAGGCCTGAGTTAGCCGCCGGCTTCTCCCAGAAAAGCCACAGGTTTGGGAGTGAATCGGGGCCTCATTTCCAAGAGCTGTGTCTCTGGGGAGGTCCCTTGACCCCCTTTTCCCCGCACCCTTCCCTCTGGCCCGCACATAGAAGTGTGGAAGCCAGAGAGCCTGTGATGGGGTTGCCTGGCCCTGTCACCCCTTCTGAGATCTCCATTTGGTGGTTCCCAAGCTGGGCAACCTCAGGCACCCCCTCCATCATCTCTTCCTGAAGACCTCACGTTTCAAAAAGTTAAAAGCATCTCAGTAATGACTTTGTCTCACTGCTCCTACCAATCAAAGGCCCGGCTAATTGCTCATCAGAGCTTCTAAGCTGCAGAGGGTCACGCTCTGAAGGATGGCAAAGAAAAGACCATTCTGCCATCAGATGAGTCTGTGGGGGCTTCACCCAGGAAGTGGATGATCTCTTTGGAGCTTCCGGTAATATCAGGGAGAACAAAGGGATGCTGTGGGCTGCCTCCCCGGTTGCCAAGGGCTAGCAACTTCAATCTGGGAACCACCAACCCCACTGTCATCTCTTCCCCACAGCCAGGCCCAGGGAGGCGCTGCCCTGCCTGTGGGGGCTCAGGGACATCCCCAAGAGAGACCCCTAAGCCTCCCTTTGGTAGTTGTGCCGGGGGTGGGCTGTGGTGGATCAATGACTCCCATCCCCTTGGAGCTGAGAGAAGGTCTCTCTGGGCTTCAGGGGTCTCAGGCTGGCGTTTGCCTGGGGTGCTGGGATCCTCATGTTGTTGATAGGCCTGCTTGACAAACCCCGGGAGTATTAGTGATGGGAAGGAACAGGAGGAGCGGCCTCCCATGTTTTCCTGATGCGTGCACTTGGTCTGAGAGTGAGGTGTGCACACAATAAAACACAGACTCCCGATGTGACACCAAATGTCCTGGCCCCCTCCCCTACTGTCCCCAGGGGAGCCTTCTGCCATGTACCTGTTGGCTCCCTGGCTGCTAATGCAGACCAGTGGACCCTGAGCAGGTGTACCTGTGCCAGTCATCTGCTGTGCCTCTTCCCTGAGGCTCTCAGATTTCTGGGCATGGAAGAATCACCTGGCGAGCAGAAGCACATGTGCCTGGGCCCCAGCCGTGACGTTCCCGAGCAGCCACGTTTCACAGGTGCTGCTGCAGTGGCAGGCCGGACAAATGTCTGAGAAGCAGAGGGATGGGTCTGCCCACACCCCTACATCCAGCCCAGCATCCCAGGTGGAGGGAGGGCCCGGGGCTTTTGGATGATCAGGCCACCTCCTGTGTCCACTTGGCCTCCAATCTCAGCTCCAGGCTCCTTGGCCTCCTGTGACATCCACCTGCACCTCACCCTCTCTCCTGCCAGTGGGTACCCAGTGATCAGGCTTGGACATGGCAGCTGGAGTCCTGGGAGCAACCCTGCCTTTCCGCCTACACCCTGCCATTCACCTTGCCTCATGGGGACCTCTACTAACGGACTCTCAGTGCCTACTGCTCACACTCACAGCCTTGCAGCCCTTTCCTGCACCCCTCCTCCATCCCAGGACCCTTCTCCCCCCCATCTCATGGTGGTATTTTCTCCACCTAAGGCAGCTCTTCGCACCAGATGCTGATGGCATTGGCCTGGGGCCCTGTGCTTTAATGGGGGGGTGCTTCTGTCTGGGCTGGGGTGGGAGACAGGGATGAGGACCTGCCTCAGTCATCCTGCCCCTCCCTCCCTCCGGCTGCTCCAGGAGGGGTCCTGGCTGACCCCCCTCCACCACCCTGACCCTACCCAGCCCTGAGACTCCCAGGGCAGGGCCAGGCTGCATTGGTGGTAGCACCAACTCCAGCTCCTTTGATCCTGGGGCTACCAACCCAGGCAGGCTGGGCTGCCAGGAGAGGGGGAAGCACTGCCCTCCAGTCTCTCCTCTCCTTTGTCTCAGCTAATAATGGGGCTAATAAGGAGCCGCTTTTCCTAACGTAATTGTATTCAAACATTTTAGTTAATTCTCCATTCATATTTTAGCATAATGGTGCTCTCGGCATTTATGGAGATTAATGCGGAGAAAGAGTTCCAGCTGCTAAGGCAACACAGGGCGACTAGCGCCCTCTGGTTCTGTGGTATTGAAGGAAGGAAGGAAGAGGCCCGGCCAACCCGGCCCACCCTCCACAATCGCGGTGTGGATGACCGGGGGCTTCATGTCCCTTGTGCCTCACCCCTGGCCTCTACACCCCCATACCCCTGGGGGTCAGAAGGCTGCCTAGGCAAATAGCCACATTGGCCAGCTCATGTCTGACAATAGAAACATGGCCTTGTGCCCCTGCTAAGTAAGGAGCACCTGCTGATGCTGGGGTCTGTACCCCTGGGTTATCCACACTTCAGGGTCGATGCTGGAGAGTGGCCGGGTGGTCCCTGAGCATGACAGCAACTCCCCACACCCACCAGCTGACCATGCAGCCCATGGGCACTCCTTCCTTCAGCCTTCGGTGGGGACACCCACCCCAGGCTGCTCCCTGCCTCTGTTTACCCTCTCTGTCAAATAGTTTGCTGCATGGGAAGGGGCAGTCGTATCTGAGCTAGCCTGGGCCCAAAGCTTCTTGCCTCCCCTGGGCCAGCTGACCCCTGGCACAGGCCTCAGAGGCTGCAGCCCTGCTGGCTGGCTTCTGCTGAGGCCTCCCAAGACAGGAAGGGCTGTCTGGGACCTGAGGCTGCCCCAGGCTTCCCCGTGGGGAGTCATTTCTGTCTGTGCCTGGGAGAGCAATGTGTCACTGCCCTCCAGATCAAGTGTCCTCCACCTGGGCCTGGCCCTTCCTTGCACCTAGAGGAAGAACCCTCCCTCAATCTTGCAGCCTGCTGAAAAGCTAGCCTCCTGGCCCCATGATTTTTGTAACTAAGAGGTTTGCTAATTGCAAGAGAAATATGACGCCTCTGACAGATCTCAGACAGTACTTCCAGCCCAGCCTGCACTCTCCCACTGCCTAAACTCCCTGGAGCAGGCTGGGCACAGCCTCATTAGAAACCGGGTGAGCCCAGCAGCCAGGGGCCCTCTTAGCTGGAGCCTGGGTTGGAGCAGAACCCTGTGATCTTGCCTCTGCCCTCCCCAGCACTAGGGTGCAGGAGGCCCAGGCCCTGCCTGGCTACCAGTGCCCCAGGCCCTGTGGGTGGGTCAGCGCAGCCAGCCAAGAAGATGTCCAATTTCCAATTTGCGGTTTGATCTCCAAATCCCAGCTCTGTGCCATCTCTGCTGCTTTCCTTGAGGGGCTGAGCTCAGTGAAGGAGCCAGAGCTTCCTCTGAGCCCCATAAGCCTGGTGGTTTTTCATCTTATTGATCTGGCTGTGCTGTGGAACAACGCTCCAAGGGGCTGGTGGATTTTTGGAAGCTGCCTTGGTGGAGGAGGGGGTGGCGGGCTCACCTGGTGTCTAATGTAGGAGGGGAGCTCTGCATGGCCTGCCCCCACCTGCAGCGAGTAGAGCAGATGCCTGGAGGGAATCTATGCTGCCCTCCTCCATGAAGGGCAGTGTCGGGGAGGGGGTGCTGATGACCCTGGAATGTTTCTGCTCTGACGTAGGAAGCTGGTGGCTGGGAGGGTGGGGGTGACATGGGGTGGAGGGATGTGGGGCGGGGCGAGACCCTGAGGCTTGCTCCGCTCTCTCCTTGTTCCACCAGAAGCCCAGTGCAAACCCTACTACTCCGACTACTCCCGTTTCCGGCTACTTGTCCACCACTTGTGCACCAGCCACTACTTGGATCTCTTCATCACGGGTGTCATCGGGCTCAATGTGGTCACCATGGCCATGGAGCACTATCAGCAGCCCCAGGTGAGCGTGAGTGGGCAGCCAGCAGCTGCTCCAGCCAGTATGGCCCTCCTGCCCCAGGCAAGGCTTGCACAACATGGGTCAGGGCACCTCCATGCAATATGAGTGCAGGGTATGCTTCCTGGGTTCCGCTTGTGCCCCTCTCGGTGACCTTGGAAAGTGGTCATTGATGAGGGTGCTGGGATTCAGAGGTTAGTTGATTTGATCAAGGGCACACAGCTAAGAAGTAGAGGACCTGGTTTCTTTGCCCGGGAAACATGTGTTTTATATCTACTACCTGCTGGGCTCCGGGCCTTTGGTAAGGAAGGCAGGCAGATCTGTGTACTCCTCTGGATTATAGGTTTTTTTTTTAAGATTTATTTAATTTTTATTGGAAAGGCATATTTGCAGAGAGAGAGATCTTTTGTCCACTGGTTCACTTTTCAAGTGGCTACAATGGCCAGACCTGAGCCAATCCGAAGCCAGGAGCTTCTTCCAGGTCTCCCATGTGGGTGTAGGGTCCAGTTCAACTCCCAGCTAATCATCTGGGAAAGCAGTGGTAGATGACCCAAGTCCTTGGGCTCCTGAACCTACATGGGAGACTATTTACAAATAAGCTCCTGGCCTCAGGCTTGAACCTGGCCCAGGCTCAGCTGTTGTGGCCATCCAGAGATTGAACCAGCAGATGGAATATTTCCCTCTATATATAAAACCTAGCCTTTCAAGCAATGCATAAAATGGATTGTCAAAAAGATTTTTATATGTTTGCAAGGTAGAATTTCAAAGAGAGAGAGAGGGAGAAATCTTTTCATCTGTTGGTCCAGATGGTTCAGTTCTGGGGCTGGACCAGACCAAACCAGGAGCTTCATCTGGGTCTCCCACTTGGATGCTGAGGCCCAAGCATTTGGGCCATCTTCCACTGCTTTTCCTAGGCTGTTAACAGAGAACTGGATTGGAAATAAAGCAGCTGATACTCAAACTGGGGCCCATATGGAATGCTGGCATTGCAAGAGGGAGCTTGAACCCACTATGCCGCAGCATCAGCTCTGAATTTAGGTTCTAACGAATGCCCAGTTCTGATACTCGCCTGTGAGTGTGCCACCTCTGATGCCCCCTCCCCTAGCTAGTCAATGGGGCTGAAGTTATAACACCTGAGGCCCCTCCTGGTCCTGGCTCATGTTCTCCTGTGCTGCCATCACTGGCTCTCAGGGATTTTTTTTTTTAGCATAAAGCTCAGCTCAAAGATGCCAAGGGGGTTCCTGTTGTATTCTGGGGTGATGGCCGGTGGCCAGCCAGGTGGCGTGAGAGCAAAGAACATGGGTTACCTTAGAGCCACGGTGACTCCCAGGTTTGGGAGTTGGCATGGAGGGGTGGGATGGGTCGGGTACCCTCAGACCCTGTCTCATCCCGTCCCTGCCAGATCCTGGACGAGGCTCTAAAGATCTGCAACTACATCTTCACCGTCATCTTCGTCTTAGAGTCTGTCTTCAAACTTGTGGCCTTTGGCTTCCGACGTTTCTTCCAGGACAGGTAATTCAGAGGAGGAGGTTCTGGGGGTGGAGCTGCAAGGAATAGGGGAAATGAAGGAGATTTGACAAGCAGGGCCTGGAGGTCATTGGCAGCTCCAAGTCCCTATGGCCTAGCTAGGGGCTTTTTAAGAGCCAAGAGCTTGACCAGGCAGCCTAGACTGGATTAAAATACAACTCCACCACTTAGTGGCTGGTGAACCTGAGTAAGTTGCTTCACTTCTCTGTGCCTTGGTTTCCTCTTCTGTAAAAATGGAAGATAACAATGGTGCCCACAATAGCACTGTGAGATAGTGTATTCCCGTTCATCAAGTCCTTCAAATGGTGCTTGGCACATAGCCGACTAGATAAAAGAGCAAAGCAATGAAGATGAACAGCTGGGACCCCCAAGCTCAGGTCCTGTGCCACGATTTGGTCACGTGACCTCAGCATAGTACCAGCCACTCCCTGCAGGATGGGGAGCCTGGGTGAGCTAATCTCTGGGAACCTTCCTAGCCCTGCTCTTCCAAACTCAACGGCTCCTGCCCCATCAGTTCTCCTTCCCCAGCTCAGGGAATTGTGTCCTGGGCTTTCCAGGTGGAACCAGCTAGACCTGGCCATTGTGCTGCTCTCCATCATGGGCATCACGCTGGAGGAGATAGAGGTCAATGCCTCACTGCCCATCAACCCCACCATCATTCGCATCATGAGGGTGCTGCGCATTGCCCGAGGTGGGTGCCCGGCTGCTGGCTCAGGAGCTCACCTTTCCAGGGACAACAGGCTCTGAAGGTAGCCAGGCAGGGTCTGGGTGGCTGTGGCTTCCCAGGGGGCTCTCTCCAAGCCTCCCCTCCAAAGCAGAAGGGCTTGGACCTGGCTGAGAGGGGCACGCAGCCTGGTTGACCCGGAAGCTGAACCCTGCTTTGGCCCAGCTGCAGCTGCTACAGCGGCTGAGGCTGCAATCTCCGAGGGGCCAGCTCCTGACCTTGTCTCATTCTACAGTGCTCAAGCTGCTGAAGATGGCTGTGGGCATGCGAGCGTTGCTGGACACAGTGATGCAGGCCCTGCCCCAGGTAGCCAGGAGGTGGTAGTGGGCCAGGGCTCCTCTTGGGGTGGGGGCAGGAGCTGACTGGGGCCGTGAGGCGGCACCTTCTCCACTTCTTTTTCTCTTTTCCAGGTGGGGAACCTGGGACTTCTCTTCATGTTGTTGTTTTTCATCTTTGCAGCTCTGGGCGTGGAGCTCTTTGGAGACCTGGGTGAGTGGGGGATGGGATGGGGAGGGTGGAGGAGCCAGCGTTGGAGCGTTGGAGACAGAGGGCTCCCAGGGCTGACATGGCCTCTCTCCCGGCAGAGTGTGACGAGACACACCCCTGTGAGGGCCTGGGCCGGCATGCCACCTTCCGGAACTTTGGCATGGCCTTCTTGACCCTCTTCCGGGTCTCTACCGGGGACAACTGGAACGGGATCATGAAGGTGAGCGGCTCCTTCAGCCCAGGGCCCATCTCTGTACTACAGCCAAGATTGCTTGCAAAGATGAATTGGACATGAACAAAAGCATGCAGCCTTCTGCCCCACCAACCAGGCCAGAACACTGTGGAACTCTCTCTCACCGGGACAAGCTCTGACTCACACCTCCTCTGCCCCCTAACCCCAAACCCCTGCCTCCCCTCCATGACAACAGTGACCCGATTTTGCACGACAGCTTCCTCCTCCCTCTCCCCCCTTTGTCCTCCCGGCCTCACCGCTCTGGCCTGCCTTCCCCAGGATACACTCCGGGACTGCGACCAGGAGTCCACCTGCTACAACACAGTCATCTCCCCCATCTACTTCGTGTCCTTTGTGCTCACGGCACAGTTCGTGCTGGTCAACGTGGTGATTGCGGTGCTGATGAAGCACCTGGAGGAGAGCAACAAGGAGGCCAAGGAAGAGGCCGAGCTGGAGGCCGAGCTGGAGCTGGAGCTGAAGACACTCAGCCCGCAGCCCCATTCGCCGCTGGGCAGCCCCTTCCTCTGGCCTGGGGCCGAGGGTCCTGACAGCCCTGATGGCCCCAAGCCTGGAGTTCCCCAGCCAGAAGCCCACCCAAGAGCAGCCTCCCGCATCTCTCTGGAGCACCCCACGGTAAGCCAACAGCATCCCCACTTTGAGGAGGAGATCCTGGGGCAAGCAGAGGGTGAAGAGGGTGGCTAGCATGCAGCACAGCCCACCCCAGGGCTCCTCCGATCCTTCTGCCCCTCCCATCTGGACCCCACGTGGCCAGCAGTCACCTGCCCCTCCCCAGAGGCAGCTGCCCATCCTCTGCACAGGGCAGCCTCAGCGTGCTAGCCGGCTGGCACATTTGGCTCCTGCTCCTCCAGCTGGGTCTAGGCTCCTAAGTTCAAGGCTAAGTTTTTGGTTTCCTCCCTGTTTCTTTCCTACCTGCCCTTAACCTGTCTGGTTCCTTCCTTCTCTCTCCCTCCCCGGGTGGGGAGGTGGCCTATGTACCTTGTACCTCCCACCTTTCCTCTCTTCCCTACTCTTCTCCCTCCCTCCCTCCCTGTCTCTGCTGTGTGCATGTGTGTGTGTGTGTGTGCACCTGTGCCTGGGTGTCAAGATGCTATCTCTACCATTTTCCCCATGTGTCTGTGTTAACCTCGTGCCACCACACTCCTCATCACTGCCCCTTGACCCCTGCATCCTTGCATCTCCACTTCCGGGCTGGTCCTCACAGGACAGACAGCTGTTCGACACCATGTCCCTGCTGATCCAGGGCTCCCTGGAGGGGGAGCTGAAGCTGATGGAGGAGCTGGTAGGCCCCGGCGGCCAGCCCTCTGCCTTTCCTCCCGCCCCCAGCCCGGGCGGCTCCGAGCCACAGGTTACTGTGCCCCTTGTGCTGTGCCCCTGCCCTGACCGCCAGGCTGTGCCTTGTGCTGTGCTGTGCTTCGGGGCAAGCTGGGAGTGTTGCCTGCCTGCCCCCTCCTCCCCACTCCCTGGGTGTGTAGAGAAAGAGCCTCAGCTGAGCATTGCATCTGGCAGGGGGCATAACCAGGGCAGAGGCTTTTGGGATGGTGCAGGTGGCCAGGGGCATGCCTGCTGCTTCTCCCTTGGGCAGCGGCCCTCATGTTCCCCCTCCACCTTTTGTTGGGTGGCTTTTACAACCACGGAGCCCACTGGGCATGATGAGGGCTCTCAGGGCACACAGCTGCAGCTGGGCGTGGATTCTGGGAGCGTTGTGTGAAATAGGACCTGGCCCCTTCCCACAGTGCCCACCCTGCATGTCTCCCCCCTGTTCCCTTTTAACCCTGGGCTGTCTGCTAACCCAGCTCCCTCTGCCCGACCCATCCTGTCCTCCAGGTCAACGTGGAAACAAGCAGACAGGTGTTAGTTGTGCCCACTTAGTCCTCCAGCAGGTTCTGTAGGGGAAACGCAGGATTCTAGGGAGCCCATAGCCTGATCCTAGCAACCCTCCATGGGAGGGGGTTGTATCTCTCCTTGGGTTCATGCTCAGACTTGGCAACGACCTAGAAGGGTCAGAGGCAAAGCAAGTCCGGCCCAGCATCCTGGAAGTAGGATCACGGGTTATGGGGTGGTGTGGGAGAGAGGAGGTGAATCTGCAGATGCCAGGTGAACCGGCCGGATGGTGCGGCGGCCCAGCCGAGAGCGCCCACTTCAGGCCAGCTGGAGGAGTGTCCCCTCCCAGCCCAAGGCGGAGAGCTGGAGGGCTGCAGGGCTGCCGCAGGCAGGGGCGGGCCCTGGGGGCAGCAGCCGGGCCTTGGGGCAGGCCGAGTCTCGCCTGGCTGTGGGGAGCGGAGAGCTAGGCAGCGAGGAGCCGTCAGATGAGCGGCAGAGTTCCCAGCGCCCCCCATGCCGCCCTGTGTGTGCTGAGAGGAGGCCTGGGTGGTTTTGTTTTTAGGTGTTATCTCTGAGAGAGTCGCAAGCCCTCCCTCCTCCTGCTCCTCCCGGGGTGGGGGTGGGGTGGGAGGGGCCGCCGGGCGTCTGTAGAACGCGTCCTTGTGTCCCTCGCTTTGTCCCCGTTTGCTCTGGCTCTCTGGTGCCTGCCGCAGCGTCTCTGATCTGAGCTGGGGGCTGGCGTGGGGGAGGAGGGGAAGCCCTGCCTGTGGAGCTGGGGATGGGGCGGGAGCGAGAAGGGACGCCGCTCCCCACCCTCCCCTTGCCCGCCTGGCGGAAAGGGGGCCCGGGCCGCGAGAGCGAGCGTGCGCGTGCCCGCGCCGGCGCGCTGGCCTGGTTTCTCACGCCTGCTCCTCTCTCCCCCCGTCTAGATCCCTCTAGCGGAGATGGAGGCTCTGTCTCTGACGTCAGAGATTGTGTCTGACCCGTCCTGCTCTCTAGCTCTGACGGATGACTCTTTGCCTGATGACCCTCACACACTCTTACTTAGTGCCCCGGATCACAACGTACATACACGTGCACCCCTCCCCACCTGCCCTTGACCATCCCCAGGGGGCTGGGCTGGCTGCAGGGCTCCAGACAGGCCCAAGAGTGAAACCCATCCTCCACTCCCCCATTCCCAGAGCAAGGGGTACACCCAGGCTTTGCTGGCACTTGCCCTTTCAGGTCCCCTACTGGGGACAAAGAAATCTGGGGGCCTTGCTGGGAGGGTTGTAGGGGCAACAGTTGTGAAAGGGTTAATCCAGACACCCTGGAGTGACACAGCCCCAAATAGAGGTGGCCTTAGTGCCAGTGTGTGGTCTTTGGAGCCCCAAGCAAGCCAGCCCGTCCCCTCCATCCCTTCCTCCCCTCTCTGCCGCCACACCAGATGTCCACCACAGGCAGTGGTTGAGAGTTCCATCCCCACTGTGCCCTTCCCCATCCTGAGGGCTGTTGCTGTCTCCTCTGTCACTGTCCCCGTGTCCTGTGTCCTTGATGCCAAATCCCATGGGTGTGGGGTGCTTCCTAGTGTTCAGACAACTTTTCTGCCCTTTCCCAGCCCCTTCCCCACACCCTCTGCCTGTGGGCAGCCCCCTTCCACCTGTCAGCAGAGCAGGGCCCAGGGTTGACTCCCAGGGGACTAGGGTAGAGTGAATGGCAGAGAAGTGGAGCTGAGGCTGAGAGGGGAGGTGAAGGACTGCCCCTCAGGCCTGCTGAGACCCCTCCAGCTTCCCCAGGAAGGAACAGTTTGGAGGAGGAGGGTCACAGACTCTTGGGGGGCACAAACCAGGGCTCCCCAGCCAGGCTGAGGCCAGTTCCCTCATTTCCGTAAAACACACATGAAGAAAACTCCCCCACCCCTCACCTGCGGTCTGTCTGTGGAGATGGGCGCTGAATCCTTGCTCAGACCTTGCCCCCCAGCTTCCACCCCAGAATCATTGTGGTGTTCAGTGTGGGAGGGAGGGGAGAGAGCTGTGACACCCCACGCCAGTGTCCATCGATCCTTAAACCCACAGGAACCCAGCCCAGGCCCACCCTGAGCCCTGAGGCCACCCCCACCAGAATTGGGTGTGCACTCTCTAGTCCACAGGCCCCTACTCACTGAAAAGGCCCACCCTACCCCATCTCCCCGGCAGCCCCAGCTTTGGGTCGGGGGCAGTTGTTACCCTTTATCCCCACTCCTTTGCCGCTCTGGGTCATAGCGCCAGGCCCATTCCCTTTGGAATCAGCTGTGGAGGCACCTGTAGGGCTGGGGGCGGGGCTGCTCTCCCTTCAGTGGCCCTGGGCAGAGCTCCCTGCCCATGTGTCTGCCCCTTATACTCTCCTCCCTTCATCACTTGGTCCTGGGAGGGAAGGAGGGAGGGAAGGGGGCCAAGGCTCGGGTAGTGGAGGTTGGGGGTGTTTGGTGTCTGTGGTCCCGCTCAGCCTCAGTGACAAGCCCAGGTGCTTCTTCTTCCTCCCCCTTCCCACCTGTTCCTCCTGCAGATGGAGCCTCACCTCGAGGAGGTGCCCAGCACCCCGGGACCAGACCTGCTGACTGTGCGCAAGTCTGCGGTCAGCCGGACGCACTCCCTGCCCAACGACAGCTACATGTGCCGGGACGGGAGCACCGCCGAGGGGTCCCAGGGAGCCAGTGGCTGGGGGCTCCCCAAGTCCCAGTCAGGTACCAAGGCTGGCTTGGCTGACACAGGGAGAGACTGAGGCTACAGGAGGGGTCTCTCTGACCTCCAGGGAGCCCCCAGAAGAGGGGGTGGTGAGGGAGAGCTCAGATCTCTCCTGACCCTTCCCCCATCCCTCTCCCACAGGCTCTGTCTTGTCCTTCCACTCCCAGCCAGCAGACACCAGCTACATCCTGCAGCTTCCCAAAGATGCACCTCACCTGCTCCAGCCCCACAGCACCCCTACCTGGGGCACCATCCCCAAACTACCCCCTCCAGGCCGCTCCCCTTTGGCTCAGCGGCCCCTCAGGCGCCAGGTGAGCAGGTTGGGAGGGGGAGGTGTGGCTGGGGCTCGGATTTCTAAGCCAAGTGGTAGCAGGCACTGTGGGGGGCTATACTTTCAGGGTCTGGTAAACACATGGTGTGCCAGGAATGGGCCAGGCTAAGTTCTATGTCCCGTGGACAATGAAGAGCTGGTCTGTGCCCCATGGGAGTGTGGAGATCAGCCAGGGCCGCCCACTCCCAAGGCCAAGGGGAGAAGGCATTCCACACCTTTCTGTTCGCTGGGAGGCCTCTTAGACCCAGCTGTAGGGACAGGCAGCCCCTGCCCTCTGCGCGCTCCAGCTCTGGTGGCAGGGACACACCCACCAGCAACTCATTGCAGAACAGATCACAGATGCGGGATGCGCATGTGTAGGGAGCAGAAGAAGGAAGGAGTCAGTGTGTCTCAGGGTGGAGACCATCCGGTGTTTACAGGTGAGGCCAGGCTCTCCACAACCATGGGCAATCCGTGTAAAGGCTATGAGCCCAGAAGGAGAGTCAGCCAGTCAGCCAGGCAGCAGAGCTGGTCCAGGAGGAGCAGAGGTCACAGAGCATGCTCCGGCACCTTAGGGGAGGCCAGGACATGGCGACCTGCGGAGGTCAAACTGCCCCAAGTTACTGCAGGGTTCTCTCCCAAGAAGAGCAGCTGCTCGTGGGGCGGAGGGAATGGGGGAGGTAAGGCTGGACAGCCAGATCAGAAAAAAGAGCCCCAAGCTCAGCCCTCCCCAACCCCACACAGGCAGCAATAAGGACGGATTCCTTGGATGTTCAGGGCCTTGGCAGCCGGGAAGACCTGCTGTCGGAGGTGCACGGGCCGTCCCCGCCGCTGGTCCGCTCCTCCTCCCTCTGGGCCCGCCCAAGCAGCCAGGCCCAGCAGCACTTGTGCAGCCACAGCAAGATCTCGAAGCACAAGGCCCTGCCAGCCCTTTGCCCTGGCCAGGAGCCCGGCCAGAGCAAGGGCCCTCCAGAGAGCAGAAGCAGCTTCGAGCTGGACACTGAGCTGAGCTGGCTTTCAGGGGACCTCCCACCCCTGGGCAGCCAGGAGGTGCCATCCTCCCCACGTGACCTCAAGAAGTGCTACAGCGTGGAGGCCCAGGGATGCCGGCGCCGGCCCGGGGCCTGGCTGGATGAGCAGAGGAGACACTCCATTGCCGTCAGCTGCTTGGACAGCGGGGGTGGCTCCCAAGCCCATCTGGGCCCTATCACCTCGGGCCTCCCTGGCCAGCAGCCTCTCGGGGGTCCTGGGAGCCGGCCCAAGAAAAAACTCAGTCCACCCAGCATCTCTATAGACCCTCCTGAGAGCCAGGGCACGCACCTCAGGGCCAGCCCCGGGGTCTGCCTGCGGAGGAGGGCTCCACCCAGTGACACCAAGGACGCCTTGACCTTGGGCCCTCCTGAGAGCTCGGCTGCCTTGCCCTCCCCAAAGAAAGACGTGCTGAGTCTCTCGGGTCTGTCCTCTGAGCTGGCAACCCTGGACCCATGAGCCCCATCCACCCATCTCTCCCTCCCTCTCACCTCTCCACTGGGTGCCAAATCCTAGCTCCTCGTCCTGGGCTATCTTCCTCAAGTTCCACAGAGACTCAAGGAGGCACTTCCTGTGCCCCCAAACCCCTCCCCTGCCTCTGCGACTCTGGGGCCCTGCAGGCAGAACTTCTAGAGAGTTCCAAGCAGCAGCCCTGGCCATGGCAGGGAGGCCCCGGGGACTGCCGAGGTTCCCAGCACCAAGAGCTGTTGGGAGAAAGCAATACGTTTGTGCAGAATCTCGATGTATATTCTATTTTATTAAATTAATTGAATCTAGTCTAAGCGGGATGTATGACATTTTTGTGACCTAAGACTTGTCTCCTTCCACTCCTGTGTTTCTGAGGCGAAGGCATCTGTCCCTTTCTTGGCTGTTTTAACCTAAAATAACCAGTCCGGTGACCTTCTCTTCTTGCAAAGCACAAGCGGCAAGCGCCCGTGCGTTCCAGCCCCCGACGGTGGTCCGTCTTCAGCGGCGAGTGAGACCTCCTTTCTGGAAACTGTCATGTAACTTATTTTCTCCTTTAACCTTGGCATCATTTTCTGTAGGGGGGTTAAAAAAAAACGGAAAAAAAAAGAGATTTTACAAATGAAATGGAACCTTTTTATATATATACATACATACATATCTATATATCTATATATCTATAATAAAGTAATTTTCCAAAATAAAAAGATAATCATGGTCCCAAGTAAAAACAAAGGGGATGAGCAGAGAAGTCAGGCATGTCCGCAGTGCCGGCAGCGGGAGTGTGGGCAGTGGGGGCTCTCTGGGGGGAGGCCTGTGTGTGGTGTGAGACGGTGTGTCGGGGCTACAGGCTCTCGCGGGGAGGCCCCTCTGCTTGGCTGCTGGTTGTGGCACGGCGCCTCTTGTTCTCCCATCGGAGCTCACCACATCCTAGCCAGGCAGCTTGGCCAACAGGAGCAATTCCAGATGAATTTCTGCTGACAGCTATCAGCAAGGCACTGAACGCGGGAAATTGACAGAATGGAGCTGTTTGGGGTAAAGGGGCTGCTGGAACCCCGGGGAGGAGGCAGCTGCCTCAGCTAGTGTCTGTTGGACTCTGTGGGTGGGGAGCTGGGGTTCCCAGTGTGTGGGTCCCCTGGGTCTTGGTACTTCAGCCTCCTGTGCGGCCCTGCTGCTGGCGGTGGAGACGGTGGCATCGCCTGATCTGGATAATCGGATTGAGCTATAGAAAGGTAGTGGCTCCCTCTGGAGGATAAGGTGACTAGGGCAGGTGTCCAGGGCCACCTCCCGCTGGCCAGGCTGCTGAGGAAATAGCCAGTCCCCCGGGGGCATGATGGATGAGCACCGTCAAAGTGTTTACACGGGTGGCTGCTGTCTGCCCAGTGGGAGCCGGCGGCGGGGAGGGAAACAGGGGGAAGCCACGGGGCCTCCAGACACCTTACTGGCATTACCCCAGGCAGTCCTGTCTTGTCTGAAAGCCCTGGTGCCAAGAATCAGTGACCATGGATGGCCTCAGCCAGCCCCATTCTCCTGCAAGTCACCCCCGAACCCTAAACACCCCCTTACCTGAAATCTCTGCCCCTTCCCCCAGGATCAATTTTGCTTGCTGAAACCTCACACCAAGGCCCAGGTGCAGTGGCAGAGAGTAGGGGGCGGTGGATGGTGGATGGTGGGGGGGGGGGGTAGGACCAGGCTGCCAGGCAGCTGGATCTGGGGGCGTTGTTGGTGAGTTTCTCCAATTGCTCTTTCGGACAGAAATGCCATGGTTCGCCCCCTTTGAAGCAAGCACCTGTTTTGAGCCTTGGGAATGGGGGTGGGGGCAGGAACGCCCAACCCTTTCCCCCAGCTTCCTCCAGGTAGGAGCAGGGCACTTTGCAGTGCCTGGCTTTATTTTGTTCAAGTGAAGCTGTGTGTACCAAATTCCTCGAGTTTCATCACCTGCGTCTGCAAATGCAGCTTTGACACTTTGGTAGGATTTCACTGAATTCTGTATCTCAAAAGGATGGCTCTGCTATCCTCTTTCCTTCCAGGGGTGGGAGAGTTCTGGCTCAAGGTGAAGGCCAAGAGCCGGACTGCTGCCCCAGCCCACCCCCACTGTCTGCCTGCTGTGCACAGCCACAGAGTTGCATAGGCTCTTAGCCGACCTGGTTTTTGGGGGGCCTCCATTCTCCCATCTGTCCCCTCTCCCCAGCAGGGGCCCAGGAAACTTGTTTGGGCTGCACCACCTTTTCTATGGAGTTGCTTTCCAGAGGTCTGCAGTGGTCAGCCTGTTGCAAAGGAAGAGAGCCCCTGTTGGCTGCCCTGCACCCCCGCTGACCCCCATCAGTGCATCTGAGGTTTCTCCAGCAGGGGGCAGTGTTTTGCGGGAGGTGGGAGGCAGCTGGGTAGTAGGGTAGAACTAGAATGAAATGGGGTATTCTGGGGGAGAGATTTGTGACCTCTCCCAGAAGGATGGGTCATCTTTATCTGCGATGGAAATGGTTGTGTTTGAAGTAAAAGTGACCGTGTCACTGAATCAGGTCGCCAGGAGTAATGGCGATGATGATGCGACCCTCAGGATGCTCGTTGGGATGGCATTTAGTTCTGCTCCAAGACACAGTGGGTGGGAGTGGGAGGTGGAGATGCCTAAAGGAACGGGGCTGGTGGAGGCGGCAGATCTTGGAACCGGGCTCCAAGGGCAGGACTGGAGCTGGGAGGCATCAAGTTTTTTTTTGGGGGGTGGGGGGCGGTGAGGGCTTTGGAAAGGGAAATATGAACTTGGAGCTTCTGCTTTGTTGTGTCCTCCAGGCTGTCTATCCGTGGAGTGGGGGTGGGCGGTTCAGAGGAAACTGTGTCACCCAGTGCAGGTCCCCACCTCGGCTTGGCGGCGGCTGCTGCCACCTCCACCCCCAAGGCTCCAGGAAAAGGTCTGTCTGGGGGTGGGGGGCCTGAGAGGAGGAGTGAGCTGAGCTGGTGCTAAAAACAAACCCGAGGCTCATATGCAGTCTCTCACTCCTCCAAACACCCCTGCAAGGGAAATACCATTGCTATCCTTTCTCTATGCAACTGTGGATTCAGAGAGTTCTAGGAACTTACCCAAGGTCACACAGCCAGGAAATGACAGAACTGGGATCTGACCCTTGCCCACTACACCCACTAGGGAGGGAATGGGACCTGATGAGAAGAACCCTGCCTATAAAATAACCTGCTAAGGGCAGGCATCTCTGCGAGGGCTGCCTGTGTCCCATTTAGGAGGGCCTGATTGAAGCACCAGCTCCTCCACTTCTCACCCAGCTTCCTGCTGATGCCAACCTTGTGAGGCACTGCTTCCCGCTTCCCTGCTCCATGCACATGGGAACCCCAGATTGAATTTCCAGCTCCTGGCTTTGGCCTGGTCCAGTCCTGGCTGAACCGGTGCCCATATGGGATCCCAGTGTGTTCAAGGCGAGGACTTTAGCTGCTAGGCCACCCCGCTGAGCCCAACAAATAATTTTTAAAACGTTTTTAAAAGTTATCAGCACGGTAACCTAGCGGCTAAAGTCCTAGCCTTGCATGTGACAGGACCCCATATGGGCGCTGGTTCTAATCCCAGTAGCCCCACTTCCTATCCAGCTCCCTGTTTGTGGCCTGGGAAGGCAGTTGAGGATGGCCTAAAGCCTTGGGACCCTGCACGTGTGTGAGAGACCTGGAAGAAGCTTCAGATTCTTAGCTTTGGACTGGCTCAGCCCCGGCCATTGTGGCCGCTTGGGGAGTGAATCTCCTCCTCTCTGTATATCTGACTTTCCAATGAAAATAAAATAAACCTTTAAAAAAATTATTTCCTAGGAGGGCCCTTTCCAAAGCCAGTCCTGTTCATTTTCATAACCAGGTATGTGCATGCTCCCAGCTTGGCACACTCTGGAGGCTTGGAGAGCTCACAGCTACCCACCCCCTTCCACCACGGGGAGCAGGGGCAGGGGGTTCAATCACAGAAGTTTCCCAGCTCCAGGTGCTCATCCTGCGCAGCTGCCCTGGGATGCCAGGCACTGCCCTTCCAGGTATAAAGCTGCCTTTGAACCCAGGGCACCTGCTCTCCTCCTCTTCCACCCCCCTTCTCTTTTCCTGTCCTCCACCCCTGCCCCACCCATACCTCACCCACTTTACAAACAGCCTGCACCCTGATCCCCACCCATCGTAGCCAGATGCCCCCTGGCCTCTTTTTCCCTCTCCTGGGCTGGCACAGCAGTACAGCCTGTGAGGCTGGTGACAGCGATGCAGTGAGGTCAACAGACACTAGGTGGCAGCACAAGGCACCCTCACCTGGAGCCACAGTGTGCCCAGTGTGCCCCTTCTAAGGCAGAATGACCAAGCCAGGGACTGGAGCCCTATACTGGCAGACACCGTCTGTGGGCAGGTGTGCTGTACACGCTCAAAGGGGGAAATGGGCTCCAGGAAGGACAGGAATCCAAGCTACGTGAGTGTTGCACACTCATGTCCAGTGATCTCCACCTAAAGTTGGTAGATTCTGGACTAATCCAGGAGAGTGGTTGCTTGGAGCAAAATTAACTCTGTAAGCAACCTGTCATCCTACTCTGGATCTGAGGGAGCCTTGGTCAAGGAGCTCGCTGCTCAGCAACTGCACCCCCAATCCCATCTCCCACACACATTCAGCTCAGGACTTTTAAACACCAAACACCGAGTGTCTTAGCCCTGCCCCCAGGTGTAGTGGGAGCCGCTGACTCTGACCCCTGGAACAAATTCACTCTTCTGCTTCAAAAACTCCAGAAGCAGGTGCAACAGCAGCTAGCACCCTCCCGTGCGTGCCAAATCTGAACCCAGGGCAGGTTGTGGGTAGAAGGGCAGCCTTTTTGAGAGTGTAGTGAGTAAGGAACCCTGCTGGGCTGGGCCCTGGATGACCACAGAGAAGGGACAGGTTTGGGGAGGAAGGAGCTGGAGCCTAGTTTTTTTGGGGGGTATCCTAGTTTTGGGGGGGTAACCCTTAGGAGCTAACAGGAACTAGGTGGTGGGAAAGAGAGGTGGCTTTGCCTTCCTCCCCACCATGCTCCCTCTGCCATTCCAATCTGACCACCTGCCAGCCACCTTCCCCTTTCTCCCTCACCCCACCACAGTGTCTCCTGTGCCAGGGTCTCCCGGGCTGTGCTTGCTCTGCTTTGTTCTGCTTCCTGCTGTCAAGCCTGCCCAGGGCTGTACCATGCAAGAATCTTATCTTGCCATCTCCTCACCAGGAAATCCCCAATGCTGGGCTCCCCTGGGACTCTCGCTGGCTGGCGGAGGGAGGCAGGGATGTACTGCAGCTCAGCCTTTCTGGAGCTGTGTGCGGTGAAGAAGTGGGGGTTGGGCACCTAAGTCATGGGGCAGGTGCTGTTTATCACTCTGCTACGGCCCAACCTATGGGGTCTTTATCACTGCTCTCGGGGAACCCCATAGCAGGAAATACCTTGATACAGAAACAAAAGCAGATTAGGTAGTGCCTGGCACTGGCACTAAGACTACAGTGTCCTTCCTCTTTGCCAGTGATCTCTTCATAGGAAATGTTTCATTCATCAACAGACATTTCCTGAGTTCCAACTTTGCCAGGTACTGTCCTGGGTGCTGAGAATATAACGATGAGCAAGATTCGTCCCTGTCTACAAGGGGCACACAGGGGAGGTGGTATGACATTCCATAGTAACAAGGCAGGGAGAGCTGGAGGCGGGGGAGGGGGCTGGAGCGAAATCTCAGGAGATAAGCAGAATTTGACAGATGCAGAAAGGGAGGCAGAGCGTGTGCCACATAGCCTTGGAGGTGGGCTGGGTGGCAGTAGCGCAACAGCCAAGGGTGTAAAGAGGCTGCACGGAGCTTGTCCAGCCCAGCGGCATCCAGCCGGCATGCGGCTCATGCTGCCTGAGCGTGGGTAAGAAGCATGGCCCTGGGAAGCTGCGGGCAGTCTCAGGCCTCAGATCTCTGGCTCTGCCAAGGAGAACAGCCAAACAGTTATCCTGGAACTACTGTGATGATTATGCAAGGGCTGTCCCAATAAGAGTTGCCAACAGAGCTGAGCCCTAGGCAAGATGATGACCAGGACCACCCAGGTCTCACCTCGAGCCCTGAGTCCCCCCATCCAGTGCTGCAGACTGGGAGAAGGCAAGGCCAAGTCCAAAGGGCTGAGATCAGCAAGCATGGCTCTCCCCGGCCCCAACCTGCAGCTCTAATCATTGGACTTTCTGACCAACCCTGGAGCATGACCAGATTGATGCTGGGCTTCCCATCTCTGAAAAGGGAACTCACCTCCCGGAATACCCTGAAGGAAGGCCCAAAGTCCAGAGGGTGGCCCCAGGATTCCCTGGGAGCAGCCTAGACTGACAGCCTGGCTGACACGGGCTTGGGTGCTCAGGATGCTGAGCCTTGGGGACAACAGTGAGAGCACCAAGGTCACAGAATGCAAAAAGTACCATCTGAGCCAGCATGATGGCTCAATAAGCCAAGCCTCCCTCTTCAAGCACTGGATCCCCGTATGGGCACTGGTTTGGATCCTGGCTGCTCCGCTTCCCATCCAGCTCCCTGCTTGTGGCCTGGGAAAGCAGTGGAGGATGGCCTAAAGCCTTGGGAACTTGCACTTCCATGAGAAAACCAGAAGTTCCTGGTTCCCGCCTTCGGATTGGCTTAGTTCCAGCTATCGCAGCCACTTGGGAAGTGAACCAGCGACAAAAGTTCTTTCTGTCCCTTCTCTGTAAATCTTTCCAGTAAAAATAAATAAAAATTTTTAAGTGCTGTCTGGGAGTGTGGCAGGCATGTGATTCAGTTGCTCCCTGCCATTGGGGACCTCTTGGCAATAACCCACATGCACTGTGACAGGCAGCTGAGTTCTGCTGTCTTTGCCCGGAGATGGGGTGAGGACAAGAGGAGGTGGGTGCAAGTCAGGAGGACTTGGAGGACGTGCCCAGTGGAGGGGCAAAGGCCTAGGGGGCCAGCTGCCTGTTAAAGGTGAAGCCTGCCACCCTACTGCATCCTTGCCTCATGCCCACTCAAAACTCTGCAGTAACAACCCAAAACCTAAGAGATTCCCCTTCTGGGGCCGGGGGGATGGGAAGTAGCCAGCACTGAGGGACAGGAAGTGGCCGGCCACTTCTGCACTATCTTTCTGGCTCTCACCCATGTCTGCTGCTGAGCAACCAGGGAAGGAAACAGCTTCTCCTGTGGATAAACGCCAGTAAGAGGACTGCAAGGTGAGGCTGGACTGGCCCTGCGGGCAGGTGCAGTGGGGGAAAGCGGGGGGCATGTGGCCTGTTGGGGAGAATTCCTGCTCAGACCCAAACAGGGGTGACAAATGGGCTTCTGGGGCCCTGTTAAGGAGTGAGAGATGGAAGGAGCCCAGGTACACTCAAGCTGGGCAAGCAGGAGAAGGAGGCCGTGGCCCCAAGCCCATTTTAGAATACTCACCAGAGGTTTTTCTGGGGACTTAACTTGTCTGCCCCCTGACACCCTGCGAGCAGAGATTAGCACCCAGTGGGTGCCTAGGCCATGCTAGGCAGCCTGAGTGATGAACCTTTTCCAGTGAATCCTCCCCAAACTTATCCCACTACGGTTGTTCCCACTCTATAGACAAGAAAGTGAACCGAGGTGCCACAGTGACCAGGGAGGACACAGCCTCGGCAGGCAGCGGTCTGACGGACCAGTAGGAGGTTACCATGTGGAAGCTGCTGGGATCTCCTTCCTGTGCCGCCTGGCACGCCTCACACACACGTGCCCTTGGGGCACAGTGCTGGCGACTCCCGGGGTGAACACAAGTCTACTGTTCTACATAGACCAGGAAGTTGAAGTCCAGAGATGAACATGAACTTGGATATCTTTTATCAGGAGAGGGTTGCTAAATGCCTCCCCAAGTCTTCTCTGAGAGCAACTCTGGTGGGATGAGCGGGCGGTTTCAGGTGGAACCGTGTCCTTCGGTGCCCCGCCCCACCCCGCCCCCACGAAACCAACCACCCCAGGCCCCTCAGCCTCCAGATGTTGTGCGACACGCTCCAAAGCAGCCCAGGGGCCACCCGCGAGGTTGTCACCCTGTTGGCCCCACCTCTGTCCCAAAAGTCCCTCCCAGCCTGCAGTTTCCTGAGGCGCTGTTGTAACCCGTAACCCCGCAGAGGTTCTGGGGGTAGGGCTTGGCGGGGCGTGCCTGGGCGGAGCGTGGGGGCCCGGGGGGGGGGGGCGGCTCCCAGCAGGAGCTCACTTGGTCTGTCCGGGCGGCTGGGCTCGGCCGTGCTCGCCTTCCTCACTGCACCAACTCGTCCACATGGACACCTTGTGTGGGTCCAAGTTCTGGGTAAGCACCAAGCTCTGAAGGGTTGCCGGCAGGGACCTGCTGTACTGGTCGGGTCAGCCGGCTCCTCCTGGTCCCTCAGCCCTTCTGTGTTTATTGGAGGGGGGAGGGGGGACAGCAGCTACCCTAGGACCAATGTGCCTGTAGCCAAGCCCCTGGACTGCCGGCCTGGGAGTCAGGGAGGGGACAGACGAGGAGGGGACCGATGGGGCGGGCCCCACGTGGCGTCCCAGAGTTTGGGACTTGCCGGGTGGAGCCCTTGTTGGCCACGGGGAGGAAGCGGGGTAAAGTGAGGCACTCGGCTCGCCGCGGGTTCTCTGGGCCTGGAGAAGTGCTGTCATTTGCCACTTGCCCCCAACTCTGTGTGCTTGACACCCCACCCCTGCCCAGCAAAGGCAGCAGGGACCAGCCCTGGGAGCCCAGAGTCCCTGCTCCACCAGCTACTTTGGGCTGCTGGCTCAGCAGGAACCATGTTTCTTGGGAGCTACTGTTTCTTTTTCTTTCTTTCTTTGCTTTTTTTTTTTTTCCCCCTCTGGGTCAGAGCCACCTGCTACAGGTGTGCCAGCAGTGGGAGAAGGCAGGCACCTCCTGTGGCAGGCCCTTACCGGCCCTAAGTATCGGGATTCCCCTATCCCACCCTCTTCTTTAGCAGATGGAGAAAAGTTGGCCAAGGGAGAGGAAGGGACTTGCCGGAGTTGCTCAGCTCCATGCAGTCAGAGCAGGGTGGAAAAGCAGCCCTCTGGATCCTTTCCTAAGCTGGTTTCAGGCTACTGACTGCAGTCCCCAGCGCACCCCAAAGCACACAGCCCGGGACCTTTCTTCCTAGCCGCTTTCAAAACCTACCTACCTCTCTGTGTCAGCTGGCCAGTGGTCTCTGTTGTACACAGGGGGCTGAGGGCGAAGGGGTCCATCTGTGATCAGCCAGGGAATGTCCAGCTTAAGCTGCTCTCAAACCCAGGACCTTCAAGGCTTAGTCACATTTTTTTTTTTCCTGTTCTGGGAGTTTGTGTGTAAGTGTGTGTAGCATGTGCATGTGCCTGTGTGTGGGAATAGGGATGGGGCTGAGGGTGAGGATGAGGTGTCATTCACTTGTGTGTGCTGAACACCTGTGTGTGTAGGGATGGGGACCAGTCAAGAACCACACTCCCAGGGTGTGTTAGGGATGGGTTGGAACGGGCAAAAATACCTGTCAAAAAAAAAAAAAAAAGCATCTATGAGGATCGCTTAAAATTTTTTTTTTAAGATTTATTTATTTTTATTACAAAGTCAGATATACGTGCAAGGTGAGGACTTTAATCACTGCGCCACCGCGCCAGGCCCCCCTCCCCCAAAAAAAATTTTTTTAAAGGCAGTTACAGAGAGAGAGAGAGAGAGAGAGAGAGAGAAAGGTGATCTTCCGTATGTTCACTCCCTAGATGGCCACAACAGCCAGGGCTGGGCCGGGCTCAAGTCGGGAGTCTAGCACTCTACTCCATCCTGGTCTCCTGTGTGGTTGGCATCCCCACTGCTTTCACAGGCACATGAACAGAAAGCTGGATTGGAAGCAGAGAAGCCAGGAATCCAATGGACACTCTGATCAAAGATGCTGGTGTGACAAACAGTGGCCTAACCCATCATGTCATAGTGCAAGCCTCTTGGGGAAATGTTTTTTTATCTGGGTCACTGAAGTTTAATCTGAGATGGTGCAACTTCCTTTCAATGCCCTTGCCTGGCCACAGGCACGGCAGATGCATGTCATCCAGCCTGGACTGGCCACTGGTCAGTGGAGTCCAGAGATTGCATCTTTGATTTCTGGGTCACTTCCTTTCTTTGCACCCTTGTGCTTGGCTGGTGTGGCCATGATGGGGAGGCCTAGCAAAGGGGGCTTAAAACATCAAGCCTCAGGGGGCTAGAGCTCTTTGTGTCTGGGTGGATAGCGAACTAAAAGCTTAGAACTAAAAGCTGGGGAACTCAGATCACCTCTCCCATCCCTTGGTGTTCCCGATGTGTCTTGGAATCCCAAGAACATCAGAGCATGGGGACTTAAATCTGACAGCCCAGTCCTCGCTGTAGGGCTGGGGAAGAAAAATCCCTGCCTTCACCGTAGGGTCAGCCCAGGGAGAAAAAGTGATCGGCCAGCTGGTTCAGGAGGTTGAATTGGGAAACTGGACGTCTAGGATCATGTGACTGTGCTCTTGGTCCCTGATCCACCTGCCCCATGCCTTCCCGCCAAGCTTCTGGCCCTGGACATCTTGCTGCTCCTGGGCTGTGTGTACCTTCCCTGAAGACCTCTGACTCAGGGACAGCTCAGCCATAGTCTGGGTCCCTCTGGGTGCCTTCAACTAAAGGAATTGGATGCCTCTAGTCCCTAAACAGCCTCCCTCTTCTGCATTAACACCTCCTTGGCAGCTGAAAGCTGTGCTAGGCTGCACCTGTGCAGCTGACTGGGGTGGGATGGGGAAAAAGGCAGGAAGCATCTCCCTTTGAGTTACCCCCAAAGGCCCTGAGAATTCTATGTTCCTGGAGAATTCTGTGATGTGCTGTTTTGCATCTCATTGGCCTTGAATGTGATTTGAGTGTCCCTGAATCTTTTACCGTAGGGGCTTATGGGCTGCCTCCCCTGGGGGCAGGGCTGGAGCAGCCAGGAAGTGCCCTAGACAGGAGTGAAAGTGGTATAGGCAGTGGACACTTGTTTACTTTCATTAACAACTCCTCATAGCCTTAATTTCTTCACCTGCAAAGTGAAGGAAAAGCCCCCGCTCCTAGACAGCCCCCCCATGAGATTTTTATAGGGAATCAAATGACACAAGGATTATGAAGTGATTTTGGAGAATTAAGAGACTGTGTGGTAGGTCCGAAGTTCGCGGAAGAAGAGAGGATGGAGAGAAGGTTTGGCCTGGGAAGTGCCACGAGACCTGGCCTGGTAAGGCTGGTGGGCTGATGTGATAGCCCCTGTGTCCGTTGCCACTCAGGAGCAGGGGGCAGAGCCAGGGGTGGGTGAATCTGACAGCTCTAGGTAAAGCTGAGGTTAGAGGGCTTGGGGGGGACCCATGACCCCTTGGGCATCACCATCCGTACCACGTGGTGGGTGAATGAAGAACTGTGCCTTTCATTTTCCCTCCCGTTTGCTCTGGGCAGGTTCCCACATTCCTGCACAAGCCTTGGGAGTTTTGGTGGAAATAAACTCCACCATGGTCATGTGTGCAGCCCGAGGGGACTCATGAAGCCAGAACTGTCTTCTCAAAGAGAGCTTATGGTGTTCCTTCCTCTGGTTGGCTGCCCCCTGCCTAGAACAGTTAAGGGTTGGAGAGCACCCAGAGGCCAAGGGAGTCCATGGAGGAGGGACCTGGGACTGTTTACCTTGGGAAGATAGTGGCCTGTTTACGAATTCAACCTTGATCTGATGGCCCAGAATATTCTGAAACTCAAAATCTTTATTGCTAAAGCCATCCAAAGATGGCACTGATAATCCAAGGCAGAGTGAGGCTCCCATCCCTTAGGGGTGTGTAAGCACAGGGATAGTGCCCACTTGGCGTGCATGCTGGAGAGAGCCTTCCAGCAGAGGAAGCCTAGAAATTCTATGACCAGCTAGGATGTTGGCGATGAAGTCAGTGGGGTCCACCATCCCCTTTCCTTGGCCTGTGCCCCAAGTGAAATGCATTTTAGCAGCAGCCCTTGGTGGAGGCCATGGAGTCTCCATTTGGTCAGGCCCATATGGGGAAGGAAATGTGCCTGCTGCCTTAGCTGTTCTTGTTCCGGCCTCCACTACCCACACCAGGGACAGGCAAAGCCCTGCTCCCCTGGAGGCTCTGCCACTGGATCCTGCAGCTCTGTGCCAGCCAGTCTCAAACTGGTCACTCCCATGCTGGGGGACTCTAGGCCAATCACTGACTGTCTCTGGTCTCCAGCTGGGCTGGTGGAGAGGGACCTGGTTCAGATCTGATGGTGATTCTGAGGGCATAAGTTTCAGGCTTGGGGGCCGCTGCCTTGCTGCAGGTTCCAGACATTTAGGCTCCTGGGTGTGTTAATCTTCCCACTTCCTCCAGAGAATCCATGAGAGAGGCATGGCAGTGTGAGGGTGCTTCATCCTCAGATGGAGTTGATGTTCAAGGCCACAGGGGAGTTGGTGGGTGACAGGGTGGCGGACTCCTCTCTGCCTGTCAGGCACCCAAACTTGCCCACTTCTCCTGGGAGCCCAGCCCAGGCCACTGGAGTCCCCTCCCTTTGATCGTATATCATTGCTAGAGCAATGATACAGGTACTGGGTAGCTTTTCTCAGCTGGGAGAGATGGTCCCCAGGTTGGCTTCTCCCCACCATCCCCTGCACCCGGGTGAGGGCCCGGGACCTAGAGAAGGCCATGAGTCAGGGAAGTGGAATTTGGGAGGGAGCCTTGCTGAGCCTGCCCACTGGTTGCAGACACGAACATGGGCTGGCCAAGCCTCCCAGGGAGGGAGTTGGAGCAGGGCTGACCTGCCCCGATGGCTGGGATCTGCCTTAGGGAGCCTCACTGTGTGTCGCTGTCCCATGGACCACAGGTAGGGGAGGCTCCCAAGGTCAGGGATGGAGGTGGAGGCGGGCAGTAGGATGAGACTTGCCTCTACCCCTACCCCTATAATTGGGCTGCTCCCCTCCCCCAGCTGGAGCTCTTCCCAACTCCGATGCCAAGTCCGGGGGCTGTGCTTTAGAAAGGCAGGGTGGGGTGGGATTAGATTTCCCCTTCGAACTGGATCTTCAGGTTTCTAAGCCAGTAGCTACCAGAGTCCAGACTATTGACTATTCCCCTTCCCCGAGATGGGGGTGAGGTGATTAGAAGGTGGGCAGTGTGGCTGGCAGGAGACTTTGGGTGTATTGCATGGTCTGGGATCCTGGGTTCTGTCAACAGTGGGTGGGGGGGGGTTCCTACTGGAGCCCTATGGGGTGGAGAGGAAGCACCATGTGACTTCGTGGGTGGCTGGTGCCAGGATTCTGCAGCCTCACTGCCTGGGTTCAAATTCCACAGAAGCTGCAGGTCCCAGCTGTCATGAACGCTATGAGATCATTCTGGTCCATGATGGAGCTCATTTATCCTTGACTGTGGGCTGTCAGACCCCTCCTGAAATGCACGGGCCAGAGGGAACGGGAAACCACAGTCCTGTCCAGGGCAGCAGCCAGTTTTTGACCTCCTGGACCTTGCCCAAAGACACCCCAGCTGGGCTTGGGGAGGATGAGGTGGGAGCAGCATTGTACCCTGTTCCTGCTCCCCATCTTTTGCTGAGATGGGGCGCTTTTAGTCAGCCCCCTCCCAGTCTGTGACTGCACTAGCTTCCCTACCCCCGCCTTGTAGGATTAAGGAAGTGAGGATTGACAGAGCCCATCAGCAAGCCTGGGAAGTCCCTCTGGGAGCCTGGCAGAGAGTTCCAGACTCCGCATGTGTCGCCTGTTTGAATTTGTAGGTAGGGGTTTCAGCCTCGGTGCCCACAAAAGGGGCATCTGTCGTGCAGTCCACCCCGCAGGCTGGGTCTGGCCTCTTATCGGCCCCATCCAGCTGTTTAATCGCATTACTGCGGAAGCTGCTGTTGCTGTGGAAACGGCGTAGGTGATGGTGGAGGGCAGGACTATGGTTCTGTGGGCTGGGAATGAGAGGGTTCCAGGGAGCGGGGTGGGTGCAGGAAGTGACGCTCCATTTTGGCCCTCTCTTTGCCTTTGTTTTATACTTAACTTTGGGCAAGATGCCCCCTTGGGTACCAGGGACAGTGGCCTTGGTGCCAGGTGAACAGCATATTCTTGCTCCCAGTTGTCTCACTGGGGCTGTGACAGGTGTCTGGGAAGGGGACAGATGAGAGCTCTGTCTGTCCTCCCCCCTTTGTCTCTCTGTTTCTTAGTAAATCAAATAAATAATTACTCAGTATATCAACAAATAATGAGTAAAAACCAAATCAGCAAATAAAGCACTGTGGTAGATTATAACCTAGAACTTCACAGGTGGAGTGGATAGCCCTCCATGAAGAGTTGAGGGTGACCCAAGGATTCTGACTTGAGAGGAGGAGGGGGAGGCGGAGGAGAGCGTGAGTGCACTGGGCGAGTGAGGTGGGGTCACAGGTGTGAGCAGGTGCAGCTGTCTCCTGCAGAGGCTCCCCTGCAATGGAACAGGCTAATCTTCAGGCAGAGCACACAGTTTAGCTCCCCTAGGGCCAAAGCAGCCACCCGGGCCTCACATGCAGCAGGTCTCTTGGATGTGGCCATGGTGCAGGTGTCTGAAATGGTACTGAGGTCTCCATGACCTAATGCTCTGTTGCCAGCTCCCCACCCTGTCACCCTGTTGAAGTTGAGGGCTTTTCTAGGAGGGGAGGTGCCTGGGGGAGGCAGGCTTGCCTGGAGACTTGCACATGGAGACTGTGGTGCAGCAGGATGTGAGAGCTCACCCGAGGTTACAGGGCTCAGAGGGGACGGCACCCTAGGGGGACCTCTACTTCGAGCATGGGTCTTCCCTTGCCTGTTCCTTGCTTGCATGGCCCCAGCAGCTCCAATTGCTACTTCCACATCCCCAGGGCTGGAGAGAAGAATTGGTACAAGCAGGCGGGAAGATGTGCTCACACCCACAGGTCTAGGCAGCATGCACCTGTGCCTGCACTACTCTGCCAGGCATCCCAGAAACCTGGTGCCAAAAAGGGTGGTGCCTGCCTGCTTTGCCCCCTGTAACCTGAGCCTGACGCCATCCCTCCTACGTCCCCACCTCTGGAAATTGTTCTGACATGGTTCAATAAGAGCCCTGGGCACGACATTTTTGTGTTTGGTCTTTTAGCTCAACATACAGGTAGTTCAGTGGCTTATATAGGCAGATCTGTCAAGGCCAGCCAGGGGCTTTGAATGCTGCTGCAAGGTGCTTGAACTTTGTCTTCCAAGCAATAGGGAACCACTGGGGGTTTAGAGGAAGGATATAATAGCATCCTTTCTTTCATTCATTCATTCATTCATTCATTCATTCATTCATAGATATTTACCCTAAGTGCTCTAAACAAGAAAACAATGCAGAAAAAGGAGATTGGGGACTGGGGATGTGGCTGGTGGGTTGCAAGGGCCATGCTATACAGGACAGATCTCATGAAGAAAACTTGAGGATGTGTGTTCCAGCAGGCACAAGGGTCATGGAGCAGGATTGTGTGTTGTGCTCAGGAGCAGCGAGGAGGCCTCTGGCTGCTATAAAATAGGAAAGTGGGTGAGAGTGGTCCGAGTGGGAAAGGGATACTGCTCAGCTTTTGGAGTGGATGTGGCAGGTCAGCAGCTGGAGACAGCATTGAGGAGCTGGAGGGCAGAGGCCTTCTGAGAGGTAACAGGGTCTCAGGAGGGGATTTGAGCTGTTTCTGTGAGTCTGGGGCTTCTGCATGCAACGTGCCAGCAGTGATGGGGAGGCAGAATTGAGGGCCAAGGTCAGAACCCAGAGGTTAGGGCCTGAGCTCACAGGGCTGCACAAGGAAGGAGAGGAGAAGGACTTGGCCAGTGGTACTTGCTGAGGAACAGGGAAGAACCAAAGTCTTTCTGGGGCCGGGGGGAGACACACCCTGTTGTGGGGACATCCTGCTTGAAAGCTGGAAGGGGCTATTTGCTTAAAAATTTCACTTATTTTTATTGGAAAGGCAGCTTTATAGAGAGAAGGAGAGACAGAGAGAAAGATCCGCTATCCTCTGGTTTGCTCCCCAAGTGACCACAACACCTGGAGCTAAGCTAATCCAAAGCCAGGAGCTGGAAGTTTCTTTCAGGTCTCCTACATGGGTGCAGGTTCCCACGGCTTTGGGCCGTCCTTGACTGCTTTCCCAGGTCACAAGCAGGGAGCTGAGTCTCCATTAAAAGGACTGTAGGGTCAAAAACATGCAGACCTATGGAATAGTGGGTTAAGCAACCGCCCAGGAGAACTGTATCCTATAACAGAGTGTCTGGGCTGAATCCCAGCTCTGTCTCTAATCCGGTGCTCCATTCATTCACCTGGGAGGCAGCAGATAGTGACCCAAGTACGTTCCTGCTATGTCTATGGGAGACATGGATGGAGTTCCTGGCTCCTGCGTGGACAGGTCCTGTCTGTTGCATGCATTTGGGGAGTGAAGTAGAGGATAGAAATCCCTCTGTGTCACTCTGCCTTTCAAATGAGTAAATAAATCTTTAAATAATAATAATAATAAGAAGAAAGAATGCAAGTCCCAAGGACAGAGAAGAGGCGAGAAGGACAACGGGAGAGGAGACATCAACACCTCCCTGGCAGGTGGCAAACAGATGGAGGGGAGATCGCTGGCACAGGAGCCGAGGGAGCTGAGAGGGCTCCGTCTGTTGTCTGGAGACGCTTAGGCGCGGGAAGGCTGTGGCAGGGAGGGAGCGGGCGGCAGGCAGGGGCTGCGTGTGCCAGTGCAGTGTAAGGAGACATTAGGCACCCAGGCTGCTTCTCAGCCCTCCCAGCCCAACCCTCTGCCCTCCTAGAAGACCAGCAAGCCATGGTGGCAGAGTGACAAGTTCAAGTCCACCGCTGAAGGGTGGAGCCACAACCATAGCACATGCTTCCAGCCTGCCAACTGGAGAGGCCACCCCTTAATGATTCAGGTCCCACTGAATGACCAGCAGCTCCCAACCCCAATCCCCCATCTCCCACCAAAACTCTGAAGCCTCCAGCCACACAACCCCACCCAGACAAGAGGCAAATTGGGAGCCGTGAGTGCGAGTTTAACTTGGGTACACAAAGAAGTACTTATCAGTTAAACTGGTGGTGGCCGGCGGATGCCCCCACAAGGCTGAGTGTTCTCGCTGCGGAGGGAACTGTGGGTGGTTTTTCTTATGCTTTGTTTATCTTTTGTGTGAAGAACATCTAAGGCTTTGCAAGAAGGAATTCAAAACCTGTTCATACCCCAGTGGCTCTGGAAGAAGTGATATTATAGAAAATGTTATCTGTTTGTGGGTTGCTTTATTCCCTCTTCTCTTTCCAAAACAGTTGATCCATGAGGAGAGGTTCATGCTCCAAGCAAGAAGTAATCTTGTCAAGTGCTCAATGGGTGACTGATTATACAAAGTGAATGGTTTCCTAGGACACTGGACTCTCGGTGTTAGCTAAGGGCAGTCCTACCAAGAAGGGGATCTTTAGTCACCTTAGACCCTGAGATTTGCAAAAATCCCTCCACCTGGGCCCAGTGAGATGGCTCAGTGGCTAAATCCTTGTCTTACATGTGCTGGAATCCCATATGGGCACTGGTTCCTATCCTGGCTGCTCCGCTTCCCATCCAGCTCCCTGCTTGTGGCCTGGGAAAGCAGCAGAGGACATCCTAAAGCCTTGGGACCCTGCACCCGAGTGGGAGACCCAGAAGAAGCTCCTGGCTCCCGGCTTTGAATCAGCTCAGCTTTGGCTGTTGTGGCCACTTGGGGAGTGAACCAGTGGACAGAAGCTCTTTCTCTCTGTAAATCTGTCTATCCTTTGAACCTGGCCACTTCATGAGGTGGGTGAAGCAGGATGTGACCACTGCCGTTGGAAGGCAGAGGCGGGGGAGCTCAGGACGCCTTGCCGGGGAGGGCCTTTAGAAGACATGGGTCACTCGATAAAACAAAATATCACTATGCAAACAAAGAGGGGCATCTAGAAGGACACAAGGTGGCCTCAGGACAGCAAAGGAGTCCTTGAGGGGACAAGGTGGTACCCAGGGAACCAAGGGCTGGTTCTCCATGTTTGTTGTGGCAATGGTTTTACAGTGCAAAATCTCGCAGAATTGTGCTTTTGCGTGGGTGCAGTTTATTGCGTCTGAATGATGCTTCAATTAGAGAGAGAGTTTGTGAGGACATGAGGCTTCCATGGCCTTCCTGAGAGCTGCCTCTCGCTCATGCTGGGGCTCCTGGGACTTACCCCATCTCCATTCCTCTCCCTGCATGCCCTCCCTTGCCAGAGCAGCTCCCCCGCCCTGCCCTCTGCGACAGGGAGAGCCTCTGTGTCTAGGAGGCCGCTGCAGCCTGACTTGTCCTCTCTGTCTCCAGGATTCCAACCTATCTTTGCACACCGACAACCCGGACCTCACCCCATGCTTCCAGAACTCGCTGCTGGCCTGGGCCCCCTGCATCTACCTATGGGCTACCCTGCCCTGGTACCTGCTCTACCTGAGACGCAACTCTCAGGGTTACATCGTCCTCTCCCGCCTGTGCAGACTTAAGACGGTCAGGAGCGCAAGGGATGGCCTGGGCAGGGAGGCTGGGGGCTGGAGGATCCTGCTCCTGTCACCTCTACCCTGGAACCTGCCACTCCCTTATCCTCCACCAGGGTCCCCTGCTGCCCCACGCTAGGATAGTCCCTGCCTCCGGAAGAGGTGTCTAGCCAGGACCCCTCCCAGCCCTCTGGGCCACACCCAGGCTGGTCTAGTGGCTTCCAGGGGGTCCCAGAACAAAGACCCCCCCTTCCCACCAGAGGCTCTCCTTGCAACCTGTGCCCTCCTTCACAGGCTCTGGGGGTCTTGCTGTGGTGTATCTCCTGGGCGGACCTCTTCTACTCTTTCCATGGCCTGCTGCACGGCCAGGGCCCTGCCCCCGTCTTCTTTGTCACCCCGCTGGTGGTGGGGGTCACCATGGTGAGTGTGGTGACCAGGGAAGCAGGGGGTGTGGAGGAGGTCTCCAGGGAGTGCTGGCTTGTGAGGGGATGGCAGTGGGTTCTGAGGAGCAGGGAAGACCATCTGGGCACGTGGGCGGGGAGGAAAGGAGGCAGGTCGCGCCCTGAGTGCCCTGGCTGCTGCGGCCCCCTCCCTGCACAGCTGCTGGCCACCCTGCTGATCCAGTATGAGCGGCTGCGGGGTGTGCAGTCATCGGGGATCCTCATCATCTTCTGGTTCCTGTGTGTGGTCTGCGCCATCATCCCCTTCCGCTCCAAAATCCTTGCAGCCATGGCGGAGGTAAGGGAAAGAGGAGGGAAAAGCTGCCAGATGCAGACCCATCTAGAGGGTGACTTCAGGGTTCAAGGTCATTGCTGGTTGCCAGACTCCCTCCCCACTACCCCGTCCTGCTCCCAGGACCCCCTCTTTTGTGTTTTTCCTCAGCTTGCTGTGCTTCTATCTGGAAGCAGCAAACAGATGGAGAAGCAGTAGGCACAGGGAGTGGAGCCAAACACTGCCCCCCCCTCACCTGTTGGACACTTGTGGAGAGTCAGGGGCTTCCACAAGTGCCCCACCCCCACCCCAGCAGGTGCCCTATCTGACATGGTGTTGATGTTGGGTCATGAGCACCTGGGTCTGCCATTCTCACTAGCTGCACGAGCCCCTGGCATCCTCTTCCCCTTCCTTTCTTCCCCTCTCTCTCACTGCCTGGCCTTCTTGATCTTTGGGGGGTGGGATGGAGTATAGAGGGTCAACCTTGGGCCTTCCCATGTGTGCCATCCTGAAGGGTAGCTTGGAGATGAGGCTCTGAATGTTTGCCTAGTCCAGCCCATCAGAGCCTCATTTGTCATTGCGCGATGGGCACCGTCACCCACCTCCCTGCCCCCCAGCAACAGGGTGACAGGCTGTGTCCAGGTGACACATAGCAGTGTGGGGGTGGAATGCTAATCTTTTACCTCATTCAGGGTAAGTCCTCACTGACCTGCAGTCCCCAGCACCATTCCCAGGCTTGGAATCCCCTGGGTGGAGACTCCATCCCAGGCAGAGGAGCTTGATATCCTGAGACCCTTTGGGAGGGCCCTGCTGGCCAGGCTGGCTTCACCTGCTCCCGTGCTCCACAGGGCAGCATCTCGGACCCCTTCCGCTTCTGCACCTTCTACATCTACTTTGCACTGGTCCTGTCGGCGCTCATCCTGTCCTGCTTCAGGGAGAAGCCGCCCTTCTTCTCCCCCAAGAATGTGGATCCTGTGAGTTTTGCCCTCATCAGCAATCCCCATCCCTTCCAGATCCTCCCAAAGGGGACACATTTGGCATACCTGCAAGTGGTCCACTGGCAGGAATGAGGGACAGTGGGCACTCCTGACTCGCTCTGTCTCATTCTCTCATCTTCTAGAACCCCTGCCCAGAGGGCAGCGCTGGCTTCCTCTCCCGCCTGTCTTTCTGGTGGTTCACAGAGTAAGTTGGCTTTTCCTCCTGTCTGGGCCCGAGGGAAGGAGATGGGGGGTTAGAGGGAGGAAGGGGAGCAGGCCACAAGTTCAGGAGCTTCAGCAGCTGGGCCTGGCTGGGCCTGGAGCTGGGTCCCGGTGGGCCTGGAGCTGGGCCCAGGGGCCTGGTCCATTCTGCTCCTGGCTGTGTCTGGCAAGTAGTGCCGGTGACAGACCCAGGGGCTGGACCGCAAGATCACAGTGAGCTCCAAGCCTTTCTCCGTCTGGGGAGAGCTGGCTGCTTGTCATCCATCTCCCTGGCTGCACCTCAGAGCCACTTGAGTAGGATAATTGCATCTGCGACCTGGGTGACAACTCATTAACCACACTGCCCCGAGGAAGCGTTCAAGGCCAGGGCTGAATCCACCTACCATGTCCTGGCCCAGGGCCTGGGCATCATGGATTTCCTCCCCACTTCCTGCTAGGCACTGGGCTGGAGGTGGTAGAGGGAGGGCCAGAGGTGGGAAGCTGGGGGCAGACAGGCAGGCAGGGAGAGATGCCTGCTGACTGTGGGGACAGAAGAGAGGGCTCCCTAGGTCACAGCACCCCAGGGAGAGGAAGGTCTCTTTCTGAGAGTGACTGGGGCCCTGCCAACACTGACCCCAGCTCCAGGCTGCTGGTGTCTGATGCTCTCTGGGCCTGGGCCCCCTCTCCCTGCTCAGGCTGGCTATCCTCGGCTACCGGAGGCCCTTGGAGGAGAAAGACTTGTGGTCCCTGGACAAGGATGACCGCTCCCATGTGGTGGTGCACCGGCTGCTCAAGGCTTGGAGGCAGCAGCAGAAGCAGGCAGCACGGTGAGGCCTTCCCCAAGTCCCCATACCAATCCCTCCCCACAATCTCTATGCCCAAGGTCTCCTGCAAGGGACTCCTGTGGCTGGGCCTGCGGTGACTACCTGCAGAAGACAGGGAGGAGGGCAGGTGCAGAGAGGGACCCCTGCATGGGAAGCTTGGGTCTACGTGGGGCCAGGACACCTCCATGGCATTAACTTTGTCCCAGTCCAGGCATAAGTACCTTATTTAACCTTGCACCAGCCCTACAGTGCAGATCCTATTGTTCCTGTGTTATCAGATGGGGATACTGAGGCACAGGTTGAATGGTGCACATCAGGTCCTTTAGTGGGTGATAGCCTGGCCCCAAGTTCCAGCTCTTCCTTCTGCGCTGCCCTACCTGTCATGAAGGACAGAGTCCAGAAACTTCCCATGGCCCTGCTCAGGCCTGCCTGCTCTCATTTGGAGGTGCTCAGAGGCAGTGGCCTCCATGCCCCTCCTGCCAATGCCCCCTTTGGTAGCCTCTCCTTGCAAGCCCATGAACCTGGCTCTAGCCAACTGACTGAGGCCTTCTTCCCCATCCACCCACTTTTGACCCCAACAAACAGCCCTCTTCCTCTCCCACCCACAACCCCAGGCCTAGGAGTTTTAAGCTTGTGCATGAAACACTGATCGCCCCTGGCTATGGGATGAACCAAGGATGGGGTACTCGGGAGCAGAGATGGCTACTATAGCTTTGAGGCCTGCTGCACCCTCTCTGTCTATACCACCTCCACCAGCTCCCTGACCCATTCCAGCCCTGGGTCCTGGGCTGTGCTTACCCTCATCTCCCCTGCTCTCACAGCACCTCTGGAAGCCAGGCCTGGGCAGGCAAGGAGAGACCAGTGGCTAGGACCAGAAGGGTTTATAGTCCTTGAGGGAGGTAGTCTAGATACCCCTTCCAGTGCTGTCAAGCACCTGCAAGACCTGGGGAGTCCTGAGAGCCCAGAAACGGATTCCTTCCTGTTCCTGCTCCTCTTCCTCCTCGCTTGGGCCCTTGGTTTTCTGAGGCCCAGGTACCAAATCCTGCCCACTCTCCTTTTCTCCCTGGAGCAGACAGAAGGCTGCAGCAGCACTCGGGAAGAAAGGCACCGGCGAGGATGTGGGCTTGCTGAGGGGCCGACCCCAGGTCCAGGAGCCGTCCTTCCTGAGGGCCCTGCTGGTCACCTTTGGCCCTGCCTTCCTCATCAGCACCTTCTTCAAGCTGATTCAGGACCTGCTGAACTTCACCAACCCGCAGCTGCTCAGGTGGGGCCCTACTCCCTCCTACTGCCGCCCTTCCCCAAGGTAGAGAGCCGGGCCAACAGGAAGGGAACTTAGAGCAAGATGACCCCGCCTCTGGGAACCCTGGGGGCTTTCTGTGCCCTTCCTTTGGTCCTTGGTGAGTGGCATGGCACCTGCAACTCCTTGCCCAACCCTCTGTCATTCATACTGCCTGGGTAGCAGCCAGCATTCCAGACACAATGGTAAATCTTTCCCTTCTGTGGCAGCCCGGACTTGAGGGAGCTCTCCTCTGAACAGTGCTAGACACCCAAGACACAGAAGTCTGCAAAGAAGGGCCTTGAGGTCTTGGGGAGAAGCCAGCATGTAGTTCAGTCGGCTACAGTTGGCTCTGTAGGATGTCTGGGAGAAGGCCCAGGAGGGGTGAGGGAGCCAGCGGGGTGAGCTGAGAAGGGAGGTTATCAAGTCTGGAGGCACAGTAGACTCGGCAACAGGGGAAAGTGCAACCCCAGCCCAGTGACAAAGGCCTGAGCCAGCATGACTCAGGACATTCAGGTGTTGCTAATCCTGGAGAAAGGGGTGAGGGAGGGAGGGGCAGGAAGAGGCAGGACCAGCCAAAAAGATCCTTGAAAGCCTGAAAAAGCCTGGGAGGGGCATCTGGTCTGCTTTACAGGGTTAGGGGTAGGCTGGGTAGGGAGGGCTTGGGGAGCAGGAAGTAGGTCAGGTGAAAGTTTGGACTCAGAGGGCGAGTGAAGGACTGGCAGGGGCCTGGGGTGAGTGGAGTCTTGGCTAGATTGGTCTGTCCAGGCCCCCCCGTCTAAGCCTGGTTTGTTGAGGGGGGCACACATTCTTTTTTTTTAATAATAATATTTTTTGATGATTTTTATATAGTTGAAAGGGATACATGCCCATATGGGCCACCAGTTAGGGTGGGGAGGGTCAAAGAATGGGGAAAAATGGGTGAGACAATTGCCTCCAATCTCCTTTTATCTTCTGGCATCTGGCGAAAGTGGAGAAAAGGGAAGAGGGCCACTCCCCTCAGCCCAACCACATCAGTGCCCAGGAATGGGGGAAAACTACCCGATGTCATCCCAGGGTTCCTGATGTGGAGCATGTTTTGAGGATACTGCTTAAGTGGTTTCAATAGTTCTGAGATGTTGTTGATTTCGTTGCCCCAAAGTTGAGGAAATCCTTCCGAGGTCCATTTGCTGACATAGTCCACCTTAGAGTCTCAGTTCTCCCAGATTTATTTTGATTGGAACAGCAGATATACAGAGAGGAGAAAAGACAGAAAGATCTTACGTCTGATGATTCAAAGCCAGGAGTCCAGAGACTCTTCCATGTCTCCCACATGGGTGCAGGGTCCCAAAGCTTTGGGCTGTCCTTGACTGCTTTCCCAGGCCACAAGCAGGGAGCTGGATGGGAGTGGGGCTGCTGGGATTAGAACCGGTGCCCTTATGGGATCAAGGACTTTAGCCACTAGGCCACAAAGCTCAAAGAGAAGCATATTCTTGAGTAGCCTGGGCTCAGCTCCCTGCACGGGGCCTGGGCAGTAGGAGAGCCTTGTGATCCAGCTGTGGCAACAAACACCTGGCTTGGACTCTAAGATGGCAGAGCTGGGAGAAGATCCTAGAGCAGGGGGCAGGTGGCCTCGTGTAGGGAGCTGGCAGCCAAAGAGAGGCCCTTCAGGCATGGTCACATGGTCACTGAAAGGAGAGGCTGGAACAATGTAGAAGGGTCCAGAATGGGGGCTGCAGAGGGGGAGGAGCATAGGAGCCCAGAAACTTGTCAAGGGAGGTGCACCCTTACCCATGAGCCCTTGTGAGTGCCTGGGAACAGATGTCACTTCCCTCCCAGTGTTGGAGGCCGGAAATCCTTAGTTAAGGTGAGGACAGAACCAGCTCGACTGAAAACTGCCCTTCACTTCTCTCCCAGCTTTTGGAAGTTGCTGCCAGACTTTGGCATCACTCTGACCTCTGCCCCCTGTGTCACAGGGCGTTCTCCTCCGTGTCCGCGTCTGTGCTAATATCTTTGTGTGATCATCTGCCTCTCCTTTCTCTTACAAGACACCTGCCACCAGAGTAGGACCCACCCTCTCCCACGATGACATCATCCTAAGTAGAGTACAACTGCAAGGATCCCATTTCCAAATGAGTGCCAAGGGTCAGGCTTGAATTTGCCTCTAAAAAAAGATTTATTTTTATTTGAAAGGCAGAATTAGAGGAGAGACAGAGATCTTCCATCCAATGATTCATTACCCAAATGGCCACAATGGCTGGAGATGGGCTGATCCAAAGTCAGGAGCTTCTTCTGGGTCTCCACGTAGATGCAGGAGTCCAAGGACTTGGTGCATCTGCTGCTGCTTTCGCAGGCCGTAAGCAAGGGAGGTGGGTCAGAAGTGAAGCAGCTGAAATACAAACTGGTACTCATACAGGATGTAGGTATCCTGAGTGGAGCTTGGCCTACTGTACCATGGTGCTGACCCCTTGAACGTGCCTTTAAAAAAAAAAAGATTGATTTATATATATATATTTGGAAAGTCAGACATGCAGAGAGGAGGAGAGAAAGAGAGAAAGATCTGTCCACTGATTCACTCCCCAAGTGGCCACAATGGCTGGAGCTGAGCCAATCCGGAGCCAAGAGCCAGGAGTTGCTTCTGGGTCTCCCACTTGGGTGCAGGGTCCCAAGGCTTTGGGATGTCCTCTGCTGCTTTCCTAGGCCACAAGCAGGGAGCTGGATGGGAAGTGGTACTAGCAGGATTAGAACCGGCGCCCATATGGAATCCCGGTGTGTGCAAGGCAAGGACTTTAGCTGCTAGGCTTACCATGCAGAGCCCCCTTGAACATGCCTTTTAAGGAGCCAACTCAACCCCAAACAGAAGGGGAGACCTGACTGTGATGCTGGCTGGAGGGCTCCATGGAGACGGGGGGAGGTTGTCCCAACATGAAGGGATGTGACCATGTCCATAGGTGATGGAGCCAGTGGAGTGAATAAAGGGAGCTTGGGTGCAGGTGGGAGGAGGGGAGTGAGGAGAGTGTCCCTGCTGGAGCAACAAACGTGGCCCTGGCTGGCAGGTCCTAGAGCCGTCAGCAGCTTAGGAGAAGGGCAAGTCTAGCCAACTTCTTCCTCCTGCTTGGTTCAAGGAGGTGAGGAGGGTAGGCAGGTGAGGCTGATGGTGATGGAATGTGGTCCGTGAGGGTCAGGGAAGAGGCTGCAGGCAGGAGGGAACAGGGATGGTGGCCCATGTGGTAATATGGAGGTGGTAGAAGCCGGAGTACAGTAGAGGCTGAGGATGGCAGCAGGTGGCAGGGGGCTTGGGTGGGGCCTGCCGACCCTCACACCTCCTTCCTCTCTCTGGCAGCATTCTGATCAGGTTCATCTCCAACCCTGAGGCCCCCACCTGGTGGGGCTTCCTGGTGGCCGGGCTCATGTTCGTGTGCTCCGTGACACAGACCCTGATCCTGCACCAGTACTACCACTGCATCTTTGTGACGGCCTTGAGGCTCCGTACAGGCATCATCGGGGTCATCTACAGGAAGGTCAGCGGGCGTCAGGAAGGGGGCTGGCCTAGGCAGTTGGCAAGAGGCTTTGGGCCTAGCCCATCCCCCCCTGTTCACTCCCCTACAGGCGCTGGCCATCACCAATTCCGTGAAACGTGAGTCCACAGTGGGAGAAATGGTCAACCTCATGTCGGTGGATGCCCAGCGCTTCATGGATGTTTCACCCTTCCTCAACTTACTGTGGTCAGCGCCCCTGCAGGTCATCCTGGCAATTTACTTCCTCTGGCAGGTGATCCTTGACCCCTGACCTCTGCCTCCTTCCTCTGGCTTTGCTGATCAGTAGAGGGGCTGTGTGATGGTCCCAAGAGCTTCTTCAGTGACTGGTGGGAGGAAACAGCCTTCTTGAAGGTTGCTGGAGTGAACACCCGTGTCTCTCTCCCTGCACCGGCACTCTTCCCACAGGGGTCCTGGGGAAGACAGAGGGCCTGGGAGGTGGATGTGACTGGCTGTCACTGCCTGTATTTGCCCTTCTGTCTGGCTGGCTGTCATTCTGTGTCTCTTGTTTGTCCTATATGTCATACTTGTCTGGTGGCTGGCAGCTTCAGCCAGTGTGGTCAGCACTCTGGCTTGCTCTGATTGACTCCCATCCTTGGCTGCCTGCCGCTGGCCATGTTTCTGTTCAGCAGCAGGGCTCCATTTGGTGAGTTGTGGCTGTAGACTTTGGTCACCTGTGTACCTGTCCTACCCACCTGCCTCTGCAGATCGTGGGCCCCTCGGTGCTGGCTGGAGTTGCTCTCATGGTCTTGCTGATTCCACTGAATGGAGCTGTGGCCATGAAGATGCGCGCTTTCCAGGTAGGTGCTTCTGACCAGGTGCCTGGGGAAGGATATTCACTGGCACGGCCACTTTCTCAACCATGTTGTGTATTGACTGTGGGTGGCTTCTAGCCGCACAAACCCAAGCTCACTCTGTCCTCTTCATGCTCATCTTGTGGCTGGGGAATGGGGTCCAGAAAAATTAGTTGAGAATGGAGGAATCAAACTCATGTCCTCTGGGCCAGGGAGGAGTTTTTTTTTTTTTTCCAAGATTTATTTATTTATTATTATAAAGTCAGATATACAGAGAGGAGGAGAGACAGAGAGGAAGATCTTCCGTCTGATGATTCACTCCCCAAGTGAGCACAACGGCCGATGCTATGCTGATCTGAAGACAGGAGCCAGGAACCTCTTCCGGATATCCCACATGGGTGCAGGGTCCCAAAGCTTTGGGCCGTCCTTGACTGCTTTCCCAGGCCACAAGCAGGGAGCTGGATGGGAAGTGGAGCTGCTGGGATTAGAACCGGCGCCCATATGGGATCCTGGTGAGTTCGAGGTGAGAACTTTAGCTGCTAGGCTACACCACCGGGCCCGGGAGGAGTTTTTCTACTACATCAAGTGCGAGTAACAAGTCACTCAGTTTGTGCTTGGCAGACATGATGAACTGAAGTCTTCAGGCGCTTCCTGCGGCACGTAGTGCAAATGACAAACTCCTGAAGTCCCTCACCCGCCTCCTGTTTTTGCCTTGCAAGCTTCTCCCACCCCCTTACAGTACTATAGCCAAATGTCCAGTAGTTTGGCCTTTCTTTTTACTCCAAGCCACCAAGTTCTGGGTACCCCTGGGCCACCATGCATATGTTCCCTCTGCCTGGAATGCCTTTTTTAAAAAAAAAAAAAAAACAACTTTTTTTTTGACTTATTTTTATTGGAAAGTCAGATATACAGAGAGGAAGAGAGACAGAGAAGATCTTCCATCCGATGGTTCACTCCCCAAGTGGCAGCAATGACCAGAGCTGAGCCAATCCAAAGCCAGGAGCCAGCATCCTTTTCCAGGTTTCCCACACAGGTGCAGGGTCCCAAGGCTTTAGGCCATGCTCGACTGCTTTCCCAGGTCACAAGCAGGAGCTGGATGGGAAACAGGGCCGCTGGGACACGAACTGAGGACTTTAGCCACTAGGCTACTCTGCTGGGCCCCTGGAATGCAACTTGTCACTCCTTACCTACCTCTTCTCTGCATAAAATACACTTTTTCCCAAAGCCCACCCTGATTACCATGCCTAGGTCCGTTTCCCTGCCCCTACCATGTGCCCTCATAGAGTTCTGTTGCCCCTTCAGCGTTTGTTCAGGTAGTGGTTGGCTTGTGGTCTGTATCCCCTGTCAGCTGGATGAGTATGGGACCCTTGTCTGAATTGCTCATCATAATATCCTTCTTATCCAGTACATGGCCTGATCCATAGTGGGCGCCCAATCCAGAGGGATTGGATGAGTAATTAATCTGGTGAGCCGTCTAGCTGGGAGACTGGAGGAGCAAAGAGAAATAGAAGGTCCATCTCATCAGGTCTCTCCCGGTCTCACCAGGGGAACATCTGTGTGAAGCAGTGGGTAGAGAAGCCGAAAGAAAGTGCCACGCCACGTTACTTTAGAAATACAGCGGAGAGGGCAGAGGATTCCCCTTGGGAGCTAGCAGCGGAGGGGCTGAGGTCCTGCCCAGCACCTGCAGGAAGGTGTGAGAAAAGCTGGTGAGCAGGGGGGAGGAGCCACAACGCTGAGGATGAGCGAGAGATCTGAGACTCCTCCCCCACACCCAGGCAGGGACGCTGAGGAAGGGGAGCAGGTGCGCCAGTGCCCATTCTTCGTGCCACACAGGTGGAGCAGATGAAGTTGAAGGACTCGCGCATCAAGCTGATGAGTGAGATCCTGGGTGGCATCAAGGTGCTAAAGCTGTATGCCTGGGAGCCCAGCTTCCTGAAGCAGGTGGAGGGCATCAGGGAGAGCGAGCTGCAGCTGCTGCGCAAGTCAGCCTACCTTCAGGCCATCTCCACCTTCATCTGGATCTGCACGCCCTTCCTGGTGAGGCTTCACGCTGCCGTTGCGTCCTGCCTGCTGCCCAGCCAAGCCAGGCTTTGGATGGAGCTCTCCCAGCCCCCCGACGCACGCTCTCCATCCCAACTCTGTGTGCCATCCAGGTGACCCTGGTAACCCTTGGAGTGTACGTGTGTGTGGACGAGAACAACATACTGGATGCCGAGAAGGCCTTTGTGTCCGTGTCCTTGTTCAATATCTTAAAGGTGCCCCTCAACATGCTGCCCCAGCTAATCAGCAACCTGACCCAGGTACCCTCGGCTGGGACTTGGGGACTGGTGCTGGAGTTGGGGTGGTTGGTCAGTGCCCGAGGGTGATGACAGAGAGAATGATTGGCATCCATAAGGGTCATTGTTGTATAACGAGGAGTGAGTGGCTCAAGTTTGGATGAACTCATGAATGAGTCGCGGGAGGCCAGCAGAGGGCTCTGGAAACCCAGGGTCTAGAGACAGCCTCCTCTTAACCAACCCAGTCCTTGTCTTTGGACAGTGGGAGCCATGAAAGACCAGGTCTGTGCCTTAGCAAGTCAGGTCCCTAGCCAGGGGAAGAAGGGTGGGGCATGGGAAAAGCTGTCCCTAGGGCTGACCCACACCTTCCTGCAGACCAGCGTGTCTCTGAAACGAATCCAGAACTTCCTGATCCAAGACGAACTTGACCCCCAGTGTGTGGAGAGAAAGACCATCTCCCCAGGTCCAGAGACCCTCTGCTTTGGGTAGCCCTGGCCCAGCCCCTACCCCAGTACATCCTCAGCTCAAAGCTTTCAAATTCCCCTCTTGTAACCTCTTTCCTTCCTCTGCACATGTGCTTTGACCCTGCCTCGCCCCCCACTCCCTGCCCTGCCGCCTCTTCGGGTTCTTTGCTCTCCTTTGCGCCTTTCCTGGTATCCCCCACACTTCTCCCTCCTACCCTCCCTCAGGGCCCCTGCTTTCCCATCCCAATGCCCCAGCTCCCTAACTCAATACACTTGGTCCTCCCAGGCTGTGCCATCACCATCCAGAATGGCACCTTTACTTGGGCCCAGGACCTGCCTCCCGTCTTGCACAGGTACCAGCTTTGCCCCCCACACCCCTTGCCCTTCTCAGCCAGCCCAAGCTGCCTAAGGCCAAAGCAGTCACAGGACCCTGTGCCCTCGACCTTCAGATTGGACCTATGGAAGGGAGGGGGGAGGTTTGGGCTGCTTGCCTCTGACTGGTGCTGCTCGCCTTCAGCTTGAACATCCAGATCCCCAAAGGGGCACTGGTGGCCGTGGTGGGGCCTGTGGGCTGTGGGAAGTCCTCCCTGGTGTCTGCCCTGCTGGGAGAGATGGAGAAGCTGGAGGGCAAGGTGTCCATGAAGGTGAGAGGGCTGGGTTCCTGGGAAAGGAGTGGGGCATGTCCAGGCCTTGGGGAGCCCTCCAAGGCAACCTTTTTTGTGGCCAGGGCTCCGTGGCCTATGTGCCCCAGCAGGCCTGGATCCAGAACTGCACACTTCAGGACAATGTGCTCTTCGGCCAACCACTGGACCCCAAGCGCTACCAACGGGCTCTGGAGGCCTGCGCCCTGCTCCCTGACCTGGAGGTGTTGCCTGGCGGGGACCAGACAGAGATTGGAGAAAAGGTATGGGGTCCCCTCTCATCCCTAAGGAGCCAGCATGTACAACCCAGCTCATTCACTCATTCATGGGGCTTCACACCCAATGTCACATGCTGCGGAAGTAGCGCTGTTACTGTGAGAGGCCAACATGAACACACAGGCTGTGTGATACTCCAGGGCCCAAGCACTGGGGGGATCCTACACAAGGAAAAACTCTTTTTATGAAGATAAATCCCTCCCTCCCTCCCTCCCTCCCTTCCTTCCTCCCTCCCTTCCCTTCCTCCTTCCTTCCTTCCTTCCTTCCTTCCTTCCTTCCTTCCTTCCTTCCTTCCTTCCTTCCTTCCTTCCTTCCTTCCTTCCTTCCTTCCTCTCTCCCTTCTTTCCTTCCTCCCTTCCCTCCTCCCTCCCTTCCTTCATCCTCCTTTCCTTCCTTCCTTCCTTCCTTCATCCTCCCTCCCTCCCTTCCTTCCTCCATCCCTCCATCCTTCCTTCCAACCATCCCTCCCATCCACCATCTATCCATTCAATCTTATTTTGATTAAGCCTCTACTCTATGTCAGACAGTTTTACATAGTAGTGAATGCACCTGCTAAAATCTCTACCTTCTTATGTCTTACATGTTAGTGGGAAAAGAGGCACTTAGCAAGATAAACAAGTCAAGTATATGACCTATTAGATAATGCCAAAGCAGAAGCATGCAGGAGGGCAGGGATGTAGAATACATGCCAAGCTGGGTTGTCTGAGTGTCTTGGAAGCTTCATGGAGATCTGAGATCTGAACAGGACAGGGAGCTGGAGCCCTGCCTGGGGGCCATGGCACTCAGGGAGTGGGGCTTTAGGGACAGAGAGGGTGGAAAGTAAAAACCCCAGAGGTGGGTATGTGACTAAGCATTGGAGGGCCAGGCAGGAGCAGGCATCTGGAGCAGGTGATCTAAGGTCTAGGGGGTCAAAATGAGGCCAGAAAGACAACTGGCCAGGCATCCAGGTCATTTGGGGCCTTACAGGTCACTGGAGGACTGTGGCTTTCACTGAGTGACAGAAAGCCTGAGGCAGGACAGCAGGTACACTGGCTGGGCACTCCTGTGCACTTTGGTCAGGTGAAAGTTAAGATATGAGGGTGGGATGTAGGGCAAAGTTCTAGCCTTTAAGCTACAAAACATGGGGCATTGGTGAGAATTTGGGTTTTGTTTAATTTTTTTTAACTGTGTGATAAAATACGCATAAAATGTACCTTCTTGGTTGTTTTTTTAAAGGTTTATTTGTTTGTTTATATTAGAAAGGCAGATTTTACGTAGAGGACAGAGAGAAAGCTCTCCCACCCACTGGTTTACTCCCCAAGTGACTACAACAGCTGGAGCTGAGCCAATCCAAAGCCAGGAGCCAGGAGCTTTCCCCAGGTCTCTGATGTGCGTGCAGGGTCCCAAGGCTTTGGGCCATCCTTGACTGCTTTCCCAGGCCACAAGCAGGAAGCTAGATGGGAAGGGGAGTAGCCAGGACACGAACCGGCACCCATATGGGGTTCCAGCACTTGCAAAGTGAGCAATTAGCCACTGAGCCATTGCACTGGCCCAAGGTTTATTTATTTAAAAGAATGACAGAGAGGAAGAGACACAGTGGCTAGGGCAAGGCCAGGCTGAAGCCAAGAGCCTAGAATTCCATTCATTTCTCCTGCATGGGTGGCAGAGGTCCAAGACAGCTTGAGCCACCTTCCGTGCTTTCCCAGTTACATTATTAGAAAGCTGGGTCAAAAATGGAATAACTGGGCCTGGCGTGATAGAGTAGTAGTTAAAGTTCTCGCCTTGCATGTGCTGGGATCCCATATGGGCACTGGTTTTTAATCCGGCGACCCTGCTTCCCATCCAGCTCCCTGCTGTGGGCTGGGAAAGCAGCACAGTACGGGCCAAAGCCCTGGGACCCCGTACTTGCATGGGAGACCCAGAAACTTCTGGCTTTGGATTGGCTCAGCTCTGGTTGTTGTGGCCACTTTGGGAGTGAACCATAGGATGGAAGTTCTTTCTCTCTGTCTCTCCTTCTCTCTGTATATCTGACTTTCCAATAAAAAATAAAATATTAAACAACTAAGGCTTGTTATCAGTGCACCTGTGGCAGTGCCAGTGTCACAGGTGTTGACTTAACTTACTACCCCGCAATGCCAGCCACTACCTTAGTAATTAAAAAACAAAAACATGGGACTGACACCATGGCTCAACAGGGTAATCCTCCGACTTCAAGTGCCAGCATCCCATAGAGGTGCCAGTTCATGTTCTGACTGCTCTACTTCCTATCCAGTTCTGTTCTAATGCCCCTGGAAAGCAGGGCAACATGGCCCAATTTTCCCTGCTCCTGTATGGGAGACCTGGAAGAAGCTCCTGGCTCCTGGCTTCTGATCGATTCAGCCCTGGTCATTGTGGCCACTTGGGGAGTGATACAGCATATTCCCCTTTTATCTTGGACCCGCCTGACCCCTTTTTATCTCCTTCAGGGCATCAACCTGTCCGGAGGCCAACGACAGCGGATCAGCCTGGCCCGGGCAGTTTACAGCAACTCTGATATCGTTCTGTTAGATGACCCACTATCAGCTGTGGACTCCCACGTGGCCAAGCACATCTTTGACCATGTTATCGGGCCAGAAGGTGTGCTGGCTGGCAAGGTGAGACTGGAAGGGGCTTGGGGAGGTGAGGGGAATTCTAGGATCCTAGGCCTTGAGAATCAGGAGTGTGGGGTACATATCAAGGGACACCCCAGAGGCTCCGTGCAGTTTGCTGTGAGCAGTGGGTGAATCGCCCATCTGCCTGTCCATGCTTGCTAGTTCACAGGCCCCTCACGCTCCCTCTTTGCCCCTGTCGCCCTGGCTGTGCCTTCTCCCCAGACTCGCGTGCTGGTGACACATGGCATCAGCTTCTTGCCACAGACGGACTTCATCATTGTGCTGGCCGACGGACAGGTGTCCGAGGTGGGTCCCTACTCAGCTCTACTGCAGCGGGATGGCAGCTTCGCCAGCTTCCTTCGCAACTATGCACCTGACGACGAGCAGGAGGAGCTAGGCAGCAAGACGGGTACTCGCTGCTCCCAGCCTTCCCCCACCCCTGCCTGGGCCCACTGGGCATCTCTGTACAGGCTCAGGGTTATAACAGGAAGGTTTAAGTAACTTGGGCTGTCTGTGTGACAGTCAGATATTGCCAGGGGATAGCATACTGGGCATAGTCAGTTCTTGCCTCTCCTCTTTCCTGACTGTGGAGCCCTTGGTTAGCAGCTCAGATCTCAGCCTCAGTGTATCCATCGGTCAGAAGCAGGTAAAGGCTCAAGTCCTGAGTGTGTGCCAGGGCTGTTTTGCAGATAAACTGGCATAGGTACCAATGCTTGGTAAAGTCATTTGTTTGATCACCCAAGACTAGGGAGTAAGTACCAGGTCCAGGTACAGCTCCAGAGAGGATGGTGACCTGTCCTGATGGCACCTTCTCTGGGCTCATGAGATGGAGGCGCCCTCCTCCTCCTAGTTACCCATTCCCAGCTCCCCAGCTGCAGATTCTGGGCTGGCTCAGACTAACGTGGGTACTCTTGCCTGCTGCATTGTCAACAGCCAATGTGTGTTAAGTACAGAAGTGCTCTGCTGAGCCAAATGATCAGCACACACTCCTTCCTTAGCTCTCCCAGGGATGCTGTGGTAGACCTTGCCATCACCCACTTCCTCCCTACCTGCCTGTGGGCAGTGCCACGTCAGCTCCGCCAGTCTCATGCAAAGCCCAGTTCACCGAGCCTTAGATCTAAGTCTGCTTCTCCAAAGAGAAGTGGGGCCTGTTGTCTAACCCTAGTCCTTGTTATCCTTTTAATCCTTCCCATCCTTTTTCATGTTTGTCTGCCCAGCCAGCTTCACTGGTGCAGGGACTTGCAGGGGGAGCTAGCTGACCTCTGTCAACTGCCCATCCCCATACAGCTTTGCAGGGTACTGAGGATGACGTGTTGCTGATCGAAGACACACTCAGCAACAACACAGACCTGACAGATAATGAGCCGGTCATGTATGAGGTTCGGAAGCAGTTCATGAGGTGAGTCCCAGCCTGCCCTGGCCGGGCAGTGTGTAGGTACAAGCCCTCGCTGGCTCTCTGTCCCGGGATGTCCGCGGCCTCCACCTCACGTGCTGCCTCCACAGAGAGATGAGTACCATGTCCTCAGAGGGGGAGGCCCAGGGCAGGTCTGCGTCCCGGAGGCGTCTGGATTCCTCCGAGAAGACGGTGCAGGTGACAGAGGCGAAGGTCACGGGGGCGCTGACCCAGGAAGAGACGGCAGCAACAGGCAACGTGAGTAGGGTTGATGAGAAGGGCCAGGAAGCCTGAGTGGGCTCCCAGCTTCTCCCTGAGGTACTCACAGAGGCTTCTGTCCCCCACTCCCTCGACCATACCTCCAGGTGAAGCTGAGTGTGTTCTTGGATTATGCCAAGGCTGTGGGGATCTACACCACGCTGGCCATCTGCCTCCTATACGTGTGTCAAAATGCAGCCGCCATTGGAGCCAGCGTGTGGCTCAGTGAGTGGAGCAACGAGGCCTCGATGGAACAGAGACCCAACAACACCTCCCTGAGGCTGGGTGTCTATGCTACCCTGGGAATCATGCAAGGTGACCTCCCATGGTACTCCTTCCTCTGCCTGGTGCTGCCAGCCCCGAACGCCCCAGCCCTGAGTCACAGCCTCCGCTGTGTGTCTCCCAGCTTACCCCTTCATGCCCGCCCTCCACCTCTGCCCACAGGGCTCCTGGTGATGCTGTCGGCCTTCACCATGGCCTTGGGTGGCATGCAGGCTGCGCGCTTGCTGCACCACTCCCTGCTGCACAACAAGATGCACTCACCACAGTCCTTCTTTGACACGACACCCTCCGGCCGCATCCTCAATCGCTTCTCCAAGGACATCTATGTCATTGATGAGGTGCTGGCCCCCACCATCCTCATGCTCTTCAACTCCTTGTTCAGCTCACTCTCCACCCTGGTGGTCATCGTGGTCAGCACGCCACTCTTTGCCGTGGTCATTGTGCCCCTGGCTGCGCTCTACACCTTCGTGCAGGTGCGCTAGTGGGTGAGCAGGGCACTCACTGGGCAGGTGCGGCTCCTGGCAGGGTAGCTGGATTCTGTGAGGGACAATGGTTGGTTGCTTCACTTATTTGAAATCAGTGTCTCTTTTGCAAAATTGAGGTGCATAGAATCCACCTTGCAGAAAGGGTAGGAGGATAAAATGCAATGTTTGTAAATTGTGGCAATATTTTTAAAAAGGATTCATCTGTTTATTTGAAAGGCAGAGTTAGAGAGACAAGGAGGGACAGAGCAAGATCTTCCATTCGCTGGCTCATTCCCCAAATGGCTGCAGCAGCCAGGGTTGGGCCAGGCCAGAGCAAGAAGCTAGGAGCCATGAACTCCATCCAGGTCTCTCATGTGGGTGGCAGGGACCTACGCACTTGGAACAGAGAGCTGGGTCAGAGGCAGCACAGCTGGGGCTTGCAGCAGCACTCAGATACGGGATGCAGGAGTCACAAGAGGTGGCTTCATCCACTGTATCACCAGGCTGGCCCCTGTCCTTCTCCCATCTTTTTATATACAGCTGAGCACATGTGTGTGTGAGAGAGGCTGTGTGTGCATGCATGTGCAGTTTTAGCATAAATGTGTTGACATTTGGATGCAGCTCACTGCACAAGGCTTTTGCAGCACTGAGCCGTTTGCAATGGAGTGATTAGTGGATGAACAAAGCCAGTGGGGAGATGTAAGCTGTGTGCTGGATGTGGCTGCTGTGCTGCAGGCTGAACTGTGCCCCGGGCAGTCTCAGCTACACCACAGTATGGTCCACATGGGACATGATGAAAGCTGTAGGTGGAACTGGGTTACTGTGGGACTAAAGCTTAAACAGTTGGTGGAGAGAGGCTCTTTAAGAAAAAGGTAAGGGCAGATACAAATCTCTCTCTCTCTCTCTGTGTCTCCTCTCTAAATCTGCTTTTCAAATAAAAATAAATAAATCTTTTAAGAGAGAGAGAGAGAGAGGAAGACTCAGTGTAGTAGCCTAGCAGCTGAAGTCCTCACCCTGCATGTGCCAGGATCCCATATGAGCACTGGTTCTAATCCCAGCGGCCCCACTTTCCACTCAGTTCCCTGCTTGTGGCCTGGGAAAGCAGCAGAGGATGGGCCAAAACTTTGGGACCCTGCATCCATGTGGGAGACCCAGAAGAGGTTCCGGATTCCTGGCTCTGGATTGGCTCAGCTCTAGCCATTGCGGCCATTTGGGGAGTGAGGCAGTGGACAGAAGATCTTCCTCTCTGTCTTTTCTCCTCTCTGTATAATAAAAATAAATAAAATAAACCTTTTAAAAAAAGAGAGGGTAAAAAAGAGAGGAAAAAATACAGAATGATTTTTTTTTATTTGAAAGATTTCATTTTTTATTTGAAAGATTTACAGAAAAGAGAGACAGAGAAAAATCTTTTATTGCTGATTCATTCTCCAAATGGCTATAATGGCTAAAACTGAGCTGATCTAAAGTTGGGAGTCAGGAACTTCTTTAGGGTCTCCCATGTGGGTGCAGGGTCCCAAGGACTTGAGCCATCCTCTTTCCCAGGCCTTAAGTGGGGAGCTAGACTGAAAGTGGAGCAACCAGGATATGAACCATATGGGATGCTCGCACTGCAAGGCAGCTGATTAGCCTGTTCAGTCACTGTGCTGACCCCAGAATGATTTTATTGCACATTTTTTTTTTTGCAAAAGTGTAGAGTGGTGAGCTCAGTGTTCACCTAAGAGGAACAGGGTAGGGGGTCGTTTTCTGACTTTGGATACCAAGCAAACTCAGTACTTTGTTCCTGGTCCCCCTAGAGGGGGAGAAAGTAAGAGCTAACAGGGAACCAGAAAGGGCTTCATGGAGGAAGTGCCCGGAACCCACCAAGCAGCCTGATCAGAGGGAAAGGGGAAGGCATGGGTTCCAATGTGGGCAGGATGGAGTTGAGAGCTCCACAGCCCAGCCCTGACCCCAAGCTCTCTCCGCAACCCGCTGTCAGCGCTTCTACGTGGCCACATCACGGCAGCTGAAGCGGCTGGAGTCCATCAGCCGCTCGCCCATCTACTCCCACTTTTCGGAGACGGTGACTGGCACCAGCGTCATCCGGGCCTACTGTCGCAGCCACGACTTCGAAGTCCTCAGTGACACAAAGGTGGACATCAACCAGATGAGCTGCTACCCCTACATTGCCTCGAACCGGTCAGAACCCCCCACGCCCATCCGCATCCTCTGCAAGTGTCAGGCTCCTAGTCCTTCCTTTCGCCCAAACGGAAGGTGGACCCCTTCCTGCACCTGCTACTTCCTCCTTGTCTGCTACCCCACAGGTGGCTGGGCATTCGAGTGGAGTTTGTGGGGAACTGTGTTGTGCTCTTTGCGGCGCTGTTTGCGGTGATTGGGAGGAGCAGCCTGAATCCGGGGCTGGTGGGCCTCTCCGTGTCCTATGCCCTTCAGGTACGGAGGGCCCTGGGCCCTGGGCCCTGGGGCGGGGACACCCCTGGGGGAGAGCCTCCACCCAACCACCAGGTGGAGAGCATCCCAGTAACCGGATCCTAGCTCAAACTGAGCTAGGATTTTTGTGGGGGGAGAAATAGAGTATTGCAAGAGCCAGGAGTTTTCTCACTCTGGGCATTGGATGGATGATCTTGGAGCTTGGCCCTAGTGAGCAAACAGAACTTGTCCCATCTGGGCAAGACACAGGGTAACTGGCAGAGGGGCAGGGCAGGAAAGCGTACAGTTGCAAAACACTTTGCTCACATGCCTGCCATCAAAGTCTGATCAGCACTCCACACAGTGGGTCCCATTGCCATGTTTAAACAGCTGTAGACAGAAAATATTCCAAAGAAAAGGCTGCCAAAAAATTCCAAAAGACAAACCTGGAATTTGCTCTGTGCCAAATATTATGCTGAATCCACAGGAATGAAGTGATGTGATGTGTAGGCACTGTACTGAGGATTTATAAATATTTATCTATTTATAAATATTTATCTATTTGGATGGAGTTAGAGAATGAGAGAAATACACACACACACACACTGCCCACAATGGCTTCAATTGCCTTCCTAGGCACATTAGCCAGAAGCTGACTCAGAAGTGGAGCAGCCAGGACCCAAACCACTGCTCATGTGGGAAATCGGCATTGCAGGTGGAAGCTTAGCCTGATGTGCCACAAAACTGGCCCCTGTGTTAAGTATTATAAGTAATCTAGAGACAATTTAAAGTATGTGGGAGGAAGTGTGACACCATTTTATGGCAGAGACTTGGAGAATACTGGGAATCATTTCTGAAGAATCCCAAAGCACTGGAAACTTGGCTAGAAGTCAGGTGTCACCTGGAAATAACCTGTTTGGGCAAGGACTTAGGTCACGGCACATGGACTTTTGGCAAGCACTGCACATGGTTTACGCCTCCAGAGGCTCAAACTTTGGATATATTGATAAAAAGAACGCCACCCAGACAGGCCTGGTTTCTCGAGCATTCCGTGCGAGCGTATGTACGAGTCACCGGGAGATCTTGCAGAAGCATGCCTTCCTGTTCAGCAGGCCAAGGGTGGGGCTTGGCAGTCCGCATTGGCTCGCACAGGGTGGCCCACGCGTTAGCCGTGTCAGTGTTTTCCAGGACCGGTCAGAAGGGTGGGATCTTGGGAACCACCTCTGTCCTGCTGAATCGGAAGCCTTGTTTTTTTTTTTTTTTTTTTTTTAAGGTTCATTTAATTATTTGAAAAGCGAATGATGTGATGGGAAGAGAGGCAGGGAGAGACCTTTCTTCCATCTGCTGGTTCACTCAGCAAATGGCCACATCAGTCAGTGGTGGGCCTGGTGGAAGCCCAGAGCCATCCAGGTCTCCTACATGGCTGACAGTGACCTGCGCACTCAGGCCATCTTCTGCTGCCTTCCCAAGCACATTACCAGGGAACCGGATCAGAAGTGGAGTGGCTGGCCCTAGAACTGGCTCTCCAGTAAGGGATGCCACAGTGTCACAGCATGATGGTTTAACTCACTGTGATATAGCAGTGGCCCTAGAAGCTTCAATTTAACAAGACTGTGGCAAGATGGCTCTTGGTCAAATCTACATTTTTACTGGGCTATCGTTAAGGTTACAGCTCCAATGGACATTGCCTGTGGGCTTGCCCAGGTCCACCTGGGCCCTGGATGGGATGGGATGTTATCGACGGGGGCATGATCAAGGAGGCTTAGTGTTTTCCAAAACCATGGAGTACATGGGGGAATCCCTGTAACCCTAATTTGGTCCCTTCTGCCAGGTGACAATGTCGCTCAACTGGCTGGTCCGGATGATGTCGGACTTGGAGTCTAACATTGTGGCTGTGGAAAGAGTCAAGGAATACTCAAAGACAGAGACTGAGGTGGGTGCTGGGCTGGGGGGAATCTAGAGTAGCTGAGGAAGGATGGTGGGCAGCTGCCATCCCTACAGCTCAGCGCCAGCGGCTGAGGTGGCTCCATATCCAATCGTTCATTCCCACTTGGGCATTTGCCAGAGGACCATGCTAAAAAGTGTTCAGCTTGAGGGGGTTTCCCCAAGCAGAACCTGATTATTTGCTTCAGGACTCTGAGGATGGTGAGAGCACTGGCGTGCTCAGAGGAGGCGGGTAGCAGATGGGTCAGGAACCAGATGAAGGAGGTACAGGATTGGGTCAGGCAGCAGGAAGGTGAGCAAAGCTCCGCTGAGTCATGGGAGCAGAGACCAGGAAGTGTGACCTTTGTGGAGGAAAAGGAGTTGTCCTCCACTGGAGCATGCAGACTACACCACCGTTCTCCACACCACAGATCTGATCATAACCAGGAACTGAGGTCTCTGCACCATGCTCCCCACTTAGAGACCAGCCCAGCCCTCCCAGCTGACTTGTTTTTCACAAACTCTTTCCTCCCTGGGCCTCCCAACCCCATCACCCACCGGTGTCTGTCCGTCACCTCGTCTGGCTTGCCCGCCCTCTCCATTGAGCCTAGGTTCCCCACCCTGACACGAATGTCCCCAGCTCTCTTGATCCTTATGTGTTGCTAGGTGTATTGACCCAGGGACCCCACCCCGCTGAGCCCACCAGTCAGTGTCAACTTCAAATCTACAACTGTGCCACTGAAACATAGCAGGGAAGACCACAGATCAACTTCAAGTGTGGAACCCACTGCTGGGTTCATCCTACTTTATTCACACACCACCACTTTAAGAGGGCACTCTTTCAAACACCTCCCCTTTCACACAAACACACACACAAGGTACAAACCCCCTTAATGCTCTCCCCCACACCCAGTGGAGACCTGTAGGGAAATAGGTTACCTGGAGTGAGTGGCTTTAGCCCCACCCACCCCACTCCTGTACCTGCTTGACTCCCTTCTTTTGCTTTCTTTGTGTCTTTTCTTAGATTGAGCTTCTCTCTTAAGTCCAGCCCTTCCGTTTGTCCTTCTGATTGCTCAAGGACGTGGCTCCCACAGGGCTTCCCCCCCAGCTCCTGCTCCCTCCGTCTTGCTCTCTCCTTTGGGTAATCTTCATGCAGACATCACAGCTGCCACTGGAGACACACCAGCCGTTTCTCTGTTTTCCTTGCTTGTGGAGTGTGTTTCCAGGCATGGGTTACACAGGTCTGCATCACCCTCGATGGCGTCTGCCTCCTCACCCTTCATGCTGCTGTCACTGCTCACCCGTGACTGCCCTGGATCTCAAGCTTGGAGACAAGTTTCTGTTCTCATTTAGTTCAGCTTCCTGACAACATGCAGACAAAAGGCTTTTTACTTCCGCTGGGACCTGGTGTTTCCTGCTGGAGTCTGGGACTTGGCTTGCCCTCTGTCTCTCTGTTGCCGCTGAGTCCCCTGCCTGCGTACATACCCCCAGCTCCACTGCTTCCCTACTTCTGCCTTCCCCAGGCATCACTCCCCAGATCTTCTCCGTGCCCGGCAGTTCAGTCTCTGCCAGTTCAGGCAGGGGATCCTCAGTGTCCAGTCCCGCTGTTTTCCTGCATACCTTAAGAGAGTGCCATCTGTGTATCCTAGTGTTTGTTTAAGAATGATCAATTCCAAAGTCTGAGATGCAGAGAGAGGGAGAGGGAGGGCTTCCATCTTCTGGTTCACTTGCCAAGTGGCCACAACAGGCAGGATTAGTTCCAGGCCAAAACCAGGAGCTTCTTCCCGGGTCCCCCATGTGGGTGGCAGGGGCTTCACTGGGCTGGCCATCATTGCTACCTTCCCAGGCACATTAGCAGGGAGTTGGATTGGAAGCTCAGCAGCTAGGAACCTAACCAGCTCCCATAGGGGATGTTGGTGTCTCAGGTGGTGGTATAACTTGCTCCTGGCATTTGACTGCTGGCCCTCTGGCTTCTCACCTCGCAGCTAGGCTGGCCTTCCCCTGGGAGTGCAGCTGACCAGGCCAGCATACAGGGCCTCGCCCCTCTGCAGCCTCCTGCATCATGTGTGGCTGCATGCTTTGCTCTGCTGGCCTCAGTGTGCTTACTAACTTTGGGATCAAAGCCCAGTGTTTGCTCTTGCACTGGGCTCCCTAAGTGACCAAGCCAGTCCTGTCTCAAAGCCACCATCAGCATTAAGCCAGCCTGGTCCCCTCGTGGCTGTCAGAACCCTCCTTTCAAAGCCCACTGAATCATACCATTTGCCTGTGTTCAGCCCACTCAGGATCTGCAAATCCACAGCCTTAAAATGGCCTGCAAGGTCCTACATGCGGAGCCCACCCAGGGCCTCAGCCTCCAGCTTCTCACCTTTGCCACTGTGCTCCTTTGTGTTTGCTGTTCCCTCTGCCTATCATGCCCTTCCTCTAGGTTCTACTTGGTTTGCTTCTCTCGCCTCCTCCAGGAAGCCTTCCCTGACTAGTCTGTACAGCACAGCAAGATGAAGCACTTCCTGGCCCCTGATAACTCATCATTTCTTGTATCGCTATACAGATTTGCTCATTTGTTGACTGTGCCCTTCTGTGTTGAATGTAAGCCTCGTGGGGGCATGGTGGCAAGTCACCATGTGACATGGCCCCAGTGACAGCAAGTGGGTAACAGTGACGGAAGGGGGAGCTGGGACAAGCAGAAAGTCTCCCCACCCCAGGAACATGGGGCACAGAGCATGCAGGAGGGGGACAGGCTGAGGAAATTTGGGAGTAGCTATGTGGGGAATCCAAGCTGAGAGATGAAGGTGAACCCCAGGTGAGGGGGCTGCGTGCTGAGAAGCCCCGTGCCTCTCTCTCCAGGCCCCTTGGGTGGTAGAGAGCAGCCGGCCTCCCAAAGGCTGGCCCCCGCATGGGGAGGTAGAGTTCCGGGATTACTCTGTGCGGTACCGGCCGGGCCTGGACTTGGTGTTGAAGCAGCTGAACGTGCACGTGCACGGTGGTGAGAAGGTAGGTGTGAGGTGGGCAAGCCTGGGTGTGAGCTTGGGTCTGGGTGGGGTAGAGGGGGGGAGGTTCCAGACTGGCCCCATGGGGCCTCCCAGCTTCCCCAACAACCCCTTCCCCCCTTGCCATGCAGGTGGGGATAGTGGGTCGCACAGGGGCTGGCAAATCGTCCATGACCCTCTGCCTGTTCCGCATCCTGGAGGCGGCCGAAGGGGAGATCCGCATCGATGGCCTCAACGTGGCCAGCATCGGCCTCCACGACCTACGTTCTCAGCTGACCATCATCCCCCAGGTAGGACCTTGTAGGGTCTGGCCAGTGTTCTGGTTTAGGGGGCTGTGAGGGGAAGCCACACTCCTGTTTAGGTGGTATGAGGAGCGAGACCAGGACCTCAGTTTCGCAGGCTAGCGGGCAAGCAAAGTCACCCTAGATGCCAATCAGCAGATCACGCTCAGCAAAACCCTGCCCTCTGGCCGGATCCAGGCAGGTCCTGCCTTTTGATTTTGTGTCTCAGCAGCTGGGGAGGGGTCCCGAAACTCCTTCTAAGCATGCCAGCACTCCTCTGCCTACCCCAGATGCCCCATGGTCAGCTAGGGACACAGCTCCGAGTCACAAACATTTTCCTGCCGACTGGGCACTTTGGTGGCGGATTAACAGCCCTGGTTCCTGCTTCCGCAGAGGGCTTAGCAATGGGGGCAGCGGAATTTATCGCTACCCCACAGGCCATTCTGCAGCTCTCTGGCCCTGCCTCCCTGCCATTGCTGGAGGGCTATGGACCTGCGTGGGAGCCTTAATCCCTCTCTATTCTGTCAGCCTGGGGCCCAGGGCTCCTTAATGGGACCTGGGTTGCCTCCATCTGAGGCCTTCTTGTGTCCCCAGGACCCCATCCTGTTCTCAGGGACCCTGCGTCTGAACCTGGACCCCTTCAACAACTACTCAGAGGAGGACATCTGGCAGGCCTTGGAACTCTCTCACCTGCACACGTTTGTGAGCTCACAGCCTGCTGGCCTCGACTTCCAGTGCTCTGAGGGCGGGGAGAACCTCAGGTAACAGCCTGGGACAAGCCACACAGGAGCAACAGCCCTCGCTGCTAGGGCTGGATTGGTCTCAGATGGCAGGGTGCCCATCCCTGCCTGGCCATGGAGCATTGGTTTGCATCAAACGTGTTCTGTGTGCCAAGCACTGTACCCACTTCACTATTCTCTCCCAGGAGCCCTGTGGTAGAGAAATTGAGGCATAGAGGGCCATTAGGGGGTTGGCCAAAGTTTCCCAGGTGGGAGAAGGGCAAGCTGGGAGTTGGACAGCTATGGGGAATCCCAAGCCCTGTGGGTCACAGGCGAGGACTTCGCGCTGGGTTTGCACTGGCAGAGGCGGGGCTGCACGGCACCTTGCTGCAGGTAAGAGGGTGCCCTCAGTGCCCATGGGAAATTGCAGGCTCATTGCCAGAGGGCTGCAGCCTGGTCAGAGGGTATAGGTGTGGGAGGAATAGGTCCCTTAGGCCCTACTTTTTCTCCCATGGAAAGCTGTTACAGCCCAGGCTTGTGTCCCCAACTACTGGGCTGTTCATCCAGGAAGGCCAGGAGTCAGCTCTTATTTGAGACACTCCTGCCTGTGTTTGTGGTGTGGTTTCCACAAGCTGCTTAACCTCTCTGTGCCTCTCTCCTTTACTGCAAAACAAAGAAAATCCTGTGTTCCGTACCTCTTCATATCATCCCGCCCAATAAAAATACATGTAATTAAAACCTTTCCTAGAGGCCATATTCAAAAAATATTTTATTTGGAAGGCAGAGTTAGAAAGGGACATATATATAGAGAGATCTTTCATCTGCTGGTTCACTCCTCAGATGACCACCACGATTGGACCAAGTGTAAGCAAGGACCCAGGAGCTCCCGTGGTTGGCAGGGGCCTGAGGACTTGGGCCGTCCTCTTCTTTCCCAGGCCATAAGCAGGGAGCTGGATCAGAGTGTAGCAACTGGGACGTGAACCAGTGCCCATATGGATGTTAGTGGCACAGATGGCTGCTTAGCTCGCTATGTCACAGCACTGGCCCCCTAACCACAGTTATACAGATATACAGATGTACAGAGGGGAGTGGCAGAGAAGATCTTCCGTCTGCTGTTTCACTGCCTAAGTGGCCACAATGGCTGGAATTGCACTAATCTGAAGCCAAAAGCCAAAATCCTTTTCTGGGTCTCCCACAGTGGAAAGTAGGGCCACCAGAACTTGAATCAGCACCCATATGGGATCCTAGCACATGCAAGGTAAGAACTTTAGCCACTAGGCTACTATGCTGGGCCCTAGCCTCAGTTTTTTATTTTTATTTTTATTTTTACAGTTTTTTTTTTTTAAAGGGAAAAAGGTTTGACACCCTGGTGAAGTAAGCTAAGCCTCTGTGTGCAGGGCCAACATTCCATATGGATGCTGGTTCGTGTCCTGGCTATTCCACTCTCTGTCCAGCTTCCTGCCTACAGCCTAGGAAAGCAGCAGAGGGGATGGCCCAAGTGCTTGGGTTCCTGCACCCGTGTGAGAGACACTGATAAGCTGTTGGCTTCAGATCGACTCAACTCCAGCCATTGTAGCCATTTGGGGAATAAACCAACAGATGAAAGACATTTCTCTGTCTCTCCTTTTCTCTGCAATTCTGTCTTTCAAATAAAAATAAATCTTTTTTTAAAAAAAGCAAAGAAAATCAGTAGATGAAGCAACTTTTAGTAGCATTATTGGTTGAACACATGTGGACATTTTGCTGATACAAGTTATTAATAATACAAGTCTGAAGCCTGGTGTGTGTAACACAGCCTGTCACACTCCAGCCACAATGTGGATGCTCAGTGGCCACATGTGGCTGGTGGCTACCCGGGGACAAGGCATTCTGGGGGTCACTATTGAACTTGAGCAACACTCAGCTTGGATATACATCTGAGAGTCAGTTCTCCTGCCCTCACATCCATTTTTTTATGCTCCACCCATGGCCATGGGTCCTCCCCAGACCTCAAAAACGACAACAGAAAGCACTTGTTCTGCACCCAACAGTGTTGGGAGTGCTCTGGCCTGCTCTCTCTGGTTTCATGTGTCCTGCTGTCCTGGGGTCCTGAAATGAGGCTTCATGGTGTGAACTTGTTGGCCCAGAACTGCTTGGCCATCAGGGGGTAGAGAGGGGACTTGGGAAGTGAGGGTTTGTGTGTGTCCCCCACCTTGGTGTGCTGTATCTGAGCCACCCCTTTCAAGTCACATAACCAATGGGCTCCCCTGCCTGTCCCCTACTCCCACCCAGGCAGGCAGCCTTTCCCTACCAATGTGCATCTTCCCTGTCAGGAGGTGGCAGGTGCACAGGTGTAAGCACTCCAAACCCTGAGTCCTGCAGCTCCCTTCCTGCTTATGTCAGCACTTCCTGCCCCAGAGCATCCCCACCCCCACATGCACCAGCAGCTGAGACAAGACCTGGCTCCCCTACCTCCCATACACAGCTTGGAGCTACTTTAAATGTAACCTGCATCGTGTGCCAGTCCCACCATAAATCAGCCCCAAGTTCTGTCTGGTGGCTCATTCTGCTGCCAAAACCCTCATTAGTTGCGGGAAAGGGCCAGGGCTGGATCCTGGCCATCACTCTGGCCACGGTGACTCACTCCTTAGGGAAGGGCTGAGGTATTTGTCCTTGGCTGGGAGGGGAGTGCTGTGGCCACGGTGGCTGGTAACCTGGCCTGGCTTAATCTACCAGCTCTGGTTTCCAAGACAGGAGACTGAAGGTATGTGTCCCATCCCTTCTCTACTTCCCCAGTGACCAGACATGGGGGGGCGTCCCCAAGTTCTCCCTGCCCTACCTCTTCCTCCCTCCTTGGCAAAATAGAGTCCTGGCCTGTGTTCCCCATGGGGGTGGGAGCCGATTGCCTGAGCTGTGTTACATTAGGTTCAGCAAGATGATGTAACTACCCCAGAAGAGAAGTGCAGCCTTATTCTTACTAAAGTATAATTGACTGACAGAATAGAACAAACTTCCTAGCTCTAATTAAAGAGGGAAATGGGTAAGAAAGCAGGGTGAGGGGAGGCTGGGATTTCCCCTGAGTGCTGGCTCTACCCCTGAGGCCTCCCCTTACCTTGTAGTGTCCTGACTTCTGTTCTGTGTTCCAGAAAGGCTGGGCTGTTGAAGAGATAGGAGAAGTTAGAAAGAATAGCTCCAGAAACAGCATTGGGAGGGTGGCCTGGAGGCAGGTCACAGCTGCCCTGCCACAAATCTTTGCCTCTCCCTCTTCAGCGTGGGCCAGAGGCAACTGGTATGCTTGGCCCGAGCCCTGCTCCGCAAGAGCCGGATCCTGGTTTTGGATGAAGCCACAGCTGCCATTGACTTGGAAACTGATGACCTCATCCAAGCTACCATCCGTACCCAGTTTGACAACTGTACTGTGCTGACCATTGCCCATCGGCTTAACACAATCATGGATTACACCAGGTGGGCTATGGAAATGCCAGCAAGGGTGGCCTGGGTTGGTTTTTTTGGGGGGGCGGGGTGGTACCTGTAGCAGCAGATCAAAATTAGGGCATGGGAGAGTTCCAGGGTTGGCTAGGACAAAGCAGGGCAGAGCAGGGGTTCCCAGGTTATATACAATCAAGAAGCAGAATGGGGAGTGGTGACCTGGGCACAGGGGTGGGGGTCACAGGGATTCTTGAGGAGTTATCAGCATGTTGGGAAACAGCCACTGGTGCTTCCCAGCACTGCACTTATGCACAGGCTGCCTACCCACTGTCCCTATGGATAAGGTGAGGGTAACAGATCCTTGGGGCTGAATCACACCTCCTCAGCACCCTTGACACAGTGCTCGCGTGTCATTATACCTGTCAGGAAAGGGGTGTGATGCCCGGGTACCCGCCTTGGCATCTGGCCCCGACAGCCAGAAGGAGCTGACGCCTTATGGCCCCTGACTTCAATATGACCTTGGGCCATTTGCAAGGCCGTTTTGGGCCTGTTTCAAGTGAGAATGGCGTCTCTGGGGACTGCTGAAGGGAATGAATGACATAATGCACAGATGGGACTGGGAGATGCCAGCAGCCTCGCTGTCCCTTGCCGCCCTCCTTGCTGTAGACCTCCCAGCACAGCATGGCACAGGGAGGGGTGTCCTCCAAGGATTAGGACTTTGCCTGCAGAATCTTAGGGTTGGGTAGGGAGGGAGGGAGCAGACCACTTGGCAAAAGGAAAAATTGTAGCCTACATCCTCGTGGCATCAAAGGTATGGCATGAAAGGTGAAGGAAGAGAGGACAGGTAACTCCAAGGGAAGTAGGAAGGGGCCCTGTGGAAGGAACACAGTGGCACTACCTCCCTCCCAGGTTTTCATTCCTCCACTAAACACCTGGAGGGCAAGGGGAGGTGGGGACATGCCAGACCCTGACTCTCTCTTGGAAGTATCCCCAAAGAGCCCTCAGGGTCCCTGGAGCTGAGTCTGAGGCTACTATCTCAGGTCCATCCTCACCTGCTGCTGAGGGAAGAGGATGGGTGGACGGAGGAGGACAGGTGCCCAGGAGCAGCTCGGGCCCCAGCACAGGGCTGAGCCGAGGCTCTCTTCTCAGCCTCTGCTGCCCTTCCTCCCCAGTGGTTCACTTAGCAGCCCAGGGTGGGAGGCTCAGGCTGATCCTGGGGGTGGGGAGTTGGTTCATTCTGGTGAAGTAGGCAGAAATAATCACGCTACAGACGCATAATGAGCCAGCAGGGGTCCATGTGTGTAGGCTGAGGGACAGCCAGGACACTTCCTCTCCTAAGTGAGAGCACAGCCAGGCACAAAAGGAGAATCAGCGCTGGGGGAGGAGCTGGGGGATGAGGCAATGGATGCAGGAGGGGCCATGAGCAGCAGAGAGCAGGCCTCCCTGCACCTAGGAGAACCTGGGAAAGCATTCAGTCCTTACCTTATGACCACAAGACGCTAGCAAAGACTTTGATGGGGGGCAGGGTATGAGGGTGGGTGGCTCGAAGGGGACTGAGTGGTCTCTCAGGCTCCAGTTTGGGCAATGGCCAGCCAGTGATGCCCACAAAAACACTCCTCCCCAGGATGGATTTCTTGGGGGCACCCCCGGAGGTGGGGACCAGCAGCAGTTTGTCCCCTCCATGCCCCCCTGCATGGTGTAGCATAGTGTCTCTCCAGGCTCAGGGTGCCCACTCCCTCCTGCCGCATGTTGGTGGTGCCGCCCTGTGGACCTTGCACCAGGTGCGCCTTTTGTGGCACTGATGGGAAATGAATCCCAGGGCTGGGCCAGCCTGTGCGGTGGGAGGGGGCGGGGAGATCCACCCAGCAGCAGCCACAGCCAGGTTGGCAGCCCCAGTCCCAGATTTCACTGCAGCCGGCTTCCCGTTGTGTGCCTTTGTGAGCTGGCACAAAGCAGATGGACATGCGCAGGGCTGTGGCTCCCCACAAGCAGCCTGCTCAAGTCCTCTGACCCTGGTGAGGGGAAGGGCTCATTAAGGAAAGCTTACAGAGCCCCAACTAGTGCAGATGAATAGGGCCTGGTGTTTGATCCCAGAACCTGCTCCATCTGCCAGGGGAGCTCGCAGGATGGCTAAAATAACCAGGCTTCAAGTGTGCACATGTGGCGTAGCAGCTACACTGAAGCAGGGGGGCTGGAACGTCATGGTGGGGGACTGTGCCGTACCCACAGGGCAGCGCTGTACCACGTGGCAAGGACAGGACTGCTAGACACCTGACCTTTTTTTTTTTTTTTTTTCTGCCTTGGCTAGAATCCTGGTCCTGGACAAAGGAGAAGTCGCTGAATTTGATTCTCCCACCAACCTCATTGCTGCCAGAGGCATCTTTTACGGGATGGCCAAAGATGCTGGGCTAGCCTAGAACACCTGCTTCCAATTTCCTCCTGATCTGCCCTGGTGCTTGGCAGAAGGGCAGTGACACCAAATGAACTGGATGGCAAATGCCAAAGGAAAGGGGCAGTTTTGAAGATTTTGCCTCCACAGAGAACCTTCCAGAATGACCATGCTAGACAACTGAACATGGAAGTGAGGCCCTGGAAGTGAAGGACTCGGCTGCCAGGGTCACGGCTGCTGGAGAGGTCTCTTGTGCTTTCGGGGTGTTGGAACCCTAGCCAACTGTTCTTTCCATCCTGCACTGTTTCTTCAAGGGATGGTCTCTCTCTCTCCTCTGACTTCCCATACCTTCTCAAAGTGTTGTGGTTTTGTTTGTTTGAGACAAAGGTATTTCCCTCTAGAACAGAGGACTGTCGGATCAGGCTGCACCTTGGATCTTGAGGCCTGACCCCTGCCCACATGCATTACAGACAAAGCACTGATAAAATAAAGTGGTGGGCAGCACACCAAAGTGGCTTTTTCCTGCCTGTTCATGAGGTTTGGGGATTGGGACCAGGGAGGCAGGGGGAGAGGACGAGGACATACACATGAACGTAGTGGAGGTTGTCTGGACACATCACACCCCAGAGCTTTTGGCTGGAAGTACTGTCTTCCCAGCCAGACTTCCCTGGGCAGGTGCCAATAGTTCCTGCTCTCCTGTGCAGACACCCTAACAAGGTGAGAAATAAGGATCCTACGATGTGACCATCCTCTGATCCAGGTCAGTTGTCGGCCCTCCCAGCCTGTGTGTCTGGGCGCCGAGAAGCTGGGGGCTTGTTTTCTTTGCTTATGTACAAGTCTGTTCCCAACAGTTCCTCAAACCTGCAAGGCCTCCAACTTGTTCCTTTCCCTCGTCCTACAGGAGCTGGCGGGTGACTGGCTGAGGCAGCCCCTGTCTCGATGGTCCCCGTCTCTTGGAGATGTGAGGTGGTGACTTAAATTTGTCTTTGTGAGCAAGCCAACCACAAATGCACCATCCGCAGGGCAGAGCCCGCTAGGCAGAGGGTTTTGTGTTTGGGGTGACTCTTTCTCTCAGAGAGCTCACTAAACTTCCAGTCTCCTTTGCCCCTGGCTTGTTGCGGCCCCAGCTGGAAGGCCTGCAGCAGGTACAGAAGCGGCGCCCTGGACGTGGGTTTCCCAGTGGCTCTGGGTGGCTGGTGCTGCAGCACCATTTGCTAAAGGTTAATCACATTGTTTTGGCAGGCCTTGTCTGCCTGGGTTGTTTATGAGTACATGGAAGATGACTCCCATTCGGGCGACAACACGAGAAGGCGCAAATGCCCAAATTATTCTGTCTCTCCTTAGTGCTATGCAAAGGTCTCTGTTATGCTCTCTGATTTATCAGGCCAATTTGGCATGACGTGTGCTTTGGGAGGCCCTGGCTGGCCTAAGCCATCAGCAGCATCTCCAGCTCAAGGCTGAGGAGCTGAGGTGGCAGGCTGGATCGCTCTCTCCTAGCCTGGGTGCTGACTTCCCCGCTCACTGGGGCCCTGACAGGTGCTGACAGCCAAATGGCTAGGACACAAAATGTGGGTCATGGGGGATGACTCCTATCGAGCTGGCTCGCCTACCCCAGGGAAAAGGCGGCCACCACTGTGACCCAGGAGGAAAGATGTCGCACAAAGCACACGTCTCCAGGTGCCCCTGACAGGCCCTGTGCTGCAGCAGCAGCGAGACAGGAGGCTCAGGTGGAGAGCGGGCCCTTCTATTCTCGCAGGGCAGCTGATCCCCGGGACTGCCCATCAACTTGAACTCCCTCTGATTAGATGTGTAATGCTGGTTAGGAGACCAAAATGAAAGAATATGGACCCAGTCAGTTAATATTTAATTTTAATAATACTTGTTATGTTTGGACAGTCAGCAATGCACGGAGGGAAAACTCTTCAGTGAATGTTTACACACAATGTGAACACATGCTTTAAATATGCAGTGGGGGAGGAGGGGTGAATTCACAGTTAACAAAGCTAAAAACAAATCCTTGTTATAAATTACACAAAGTATATAAAAATATTTCTCTGAATGCATAGATTAAGACTTTAAACTCACCTACCGGCAACTGTGCAGTCTTCTCCCACCACCCTCCATGGAAGTCAGCTGACTACAGAGAAAGATTTTATAAAGGAGAAGAGACCCGGCTCCTGCCCGGCAACACACGAGGCCTCTGCTGGCCTGGCCCCGCTGCTCTGTGGGCTGCCTCCCAGCCAGGGCCTCCCTGCTCCCTGGCAGTCTCTCTCTCACTTCAGGTGGCTGAAAGGGTCCTCTGGCCAGTCACTCAGACCTGAATTAACACTGAATTAATTTCTGCTAGGGTACACCCAGGCTTCATTGTATCAGCCAACTGCAACTTCTCTCATAGCAAAGGGACAAATAAAGGTGACTACATCTGAGTGGTTGAAACTCAAGGGAGGTTCTTCTTGAAAGCCCTGCAGGAGGGGTTGGGGGGTTGTGGTCATGAGCAACCGTCACTCGGCTGTGCAAACACAGAAGGGAGGGGTAAGTCACCGACGGTAATTAGTGGCGTTCTCCGTGAAGTCGGCCTTGAAACCCACTGCAACCTCACTTGGGCAGCGGGTAGCAGCAGGAGGCTATTATCTTAGCACGACCCTCTCTTCCACTGACAACTGGTGCCTGCTCCCACTCAGCTGTAGTGTTCCACTGCAATTAGGTTAGCACGGTTCAGAAGTTCAGTCTCTTTGGAAACTCTAGGCACTGTGGGAAGAGACTGGTGCAGACCGCAGGCACCGCGCTTCCCAGCTGGCTCCCAGCCCTGCTCCCTGGATGCCTCCGTGTGCTCGCGCTTATCGTGAAAGCCAAGCCGTGTGTGTCAACAAGACGCTGGCTTCTCTCTCACCAGTAATGGCATTGAAGCAAAGGAAAAGAACACATTATTTAAAAACAACTCGTATGCCATGTTCCAGAGTTTAATCAAGTGTTTTCGTTTTCATTTTTACCAACAAAGTCTGGTAGACTTACAATGGACTTTGTTAGGTGGGCTAGTGGTGGCAATGGGGGGAGTCCCTAAGACCAAACGATCTGTTTACAAAAGCAACAAATTTCAGAGTTGTGTAAAAACCCTAATCATTTCAAAATAATCTTTATCTTTGATACAAAAATAAAGAGGTTAACTCCTTTAGCTTGGTTTCCCACAGTAGCCTTTAAAATAGCAATAGATTCAGTCTCCCAAACTGCTTTCCGTTTCTCGTGGAGGACAGGGGCGGACCCAGACCCGCAGCCCTCGTGCTCCCCTCAGGATGCGACAGGACACAGGACCCCACTGGCAGCCGCTCCCGCAGAAAGCATCAGTGAGCCCTCTAGTGACCACAGAGAGGACTTGACGCAGAGATGGCTGACTACACAGAGAAGTTGTCGTGAGGGTTGGACGAAGGACAAAGTGGGCAGGGGAAGCTCTTTTGGTTAACAGCATATCTACAATTAGGTATCTGTAGTCTTAAATACTTTTAACCTGAGTAACATTTATAAATACATTATATGAAACCTCACAGCCACAAGTCACACAAAAATTCATTTGCCAGTCCCTGTGCTTTCCCCAGTCGTGAGCATGCAACAGCAGGAGCAGCGCATCCCAGCCCTTCAGGTGCACGGTCGGCAGGAGCAGCGAGACACAGGCTCTGCTCCCTCTCAGCGTCGGCCTAGAGAACTCTTACATTCCACACATAAACCCACTGGATAGGCAGTCTCGGCTTCAGCCTCTCCAAATCACTCCTCAGCTGTTCAAAGCTTCAAGCGATAGGTTTATTGTGCACCAAGAGGCTTGGAAGAGTGGCACCACTGCTTGGGGGTCAGGGGCTTCCTACCTTGGCAGAAAAATGTTAGTGCCTACGACATGGGGCCCTCCCAGGTAGCCAAGGCATTTGGATCGATGGCCTGTTCTTGGCCCACAAGTGACGCACAAGGTCACAGCACTAAGTGACAGAAGTCCCTGCTGCATTAGTAAGTCAGCTTCGAAGCTCTCCTGTTATAGCAGGGCCTTTCCGTCAGTGTGGAGGCAGCATTTCTGAACAGAAAGTTGTTTTCACTGATCATCAGAACCAGTTCCAGCTCCTGGAAATCTTGCAGTCGAGCAACATCTTTGTCCTAAAACACAAACAAATGAAATACGTTAATGGGAGCCACGTGTTTCCTTGTTTGATGTGCTCTCTTGCTACGAGGATCTTGGGTCATTTTGAAATCTAGGAACAGCAACAACAACCAAAAAAAGCCCATGCAGGGATAGTGTGGTACCTGCGTGGGCTTGCTCTGTGATTTAATTTAGTTCTTACATTGCAAAACACAAGATACATCTAGCAATGCCCTAAGGTAACACTTACAGATCACTACAGAAGCAACTCGGGTTCCTTCAACTTTTAAACAAACTCAGGAAAGAACAGTTAATAATTACAACTGGAAAACCAGTTCCTTGTTCCTTTTTCACTACTTTTTCCTCGGCTATGATTCATAACCAAGAAGAAATCATGGTATTTTCCTACTGCAAGAAGCTACCAGCTGCCCTCAACCTTTCTTACCTTTCTTAACAGAGTGTTGGGCAACTTTCTGATCTTCTCTACTTGATCTGGATTAACACCCAGCTCACAGCAACTCACTCTCAGCAATTCTTGGTAGGTGAGCTCCTGTCGGTCCAGTTCGATTTCAATGAAATCATTTTCTCGAAGAGATGGGTTCTGAATTCTTACCTTGAGTACCAGTTCTAGAGAAAAGAAGGAAGTGTTTAAAATATTATTATTTTAACTTGAAAGGTGCAAACAGAGAGGAGGAGAGATGGAGAGACTCTTGCACCCCTGGTTAACTCTCCAAACAGCTGCAGTGACCAAAAATGGGATAGGCTGAAGCCAGGAGCCTCTTCCAGGTCTCCCACATGGATGCAGGGGCCCAAACACTTGGGTCATCCTCCACTGCTCTTCCAGGTACATTAGCAGGGAACTGGACAGGAAGTGGAACAGCCAGGACTTGAATCAGCACCAACATGGGATGCCAGTGACACAAGTAGGGGCTTAGCCTCCTACTCCACAATGCTGGCCCTTTATAAATGGTTTTGACACACAACTTGAGATCTTTTCCAGGGACTGGCCTTGTGGGACAGCAAGTTGGGTTGCAACATACAATGCTGGCATCCCATATGAACATTGGTTTTAGTGCTAGCTATTGCATTTCTGATCCTACTCCCTGTTAATGTGCCTGGGAGGGATGAAGTGATGACACAGTATTTGGGCCCCTGCCACCCTGAGAGATCCAGATGCAGTTCTAGGTTCCTGGCTTTGGCCGGGCTCAGCTGGGAGAGAAGGGAAAGCCTTCGTTTACAGAAGACTACCAACTGGAAAATAATGATAGAAAAACCATATCCTACAAAAATAATTGCCCTGGACTCTTTAAAAGGTGCTGATGTCAAAAATGAAAAAAAAAAAAAAGTTCCAAATTAAAGAATAAATGGCATGATCACCAGATGTAGTCAT